ATCACAGTGAATTAACCGAGTGCGGCTAAGTCGTTAATTTCTTAGTGTTAAAGAAGTCATGACATGGCAGTCGATGTTAAATTCCGTTGGTTGAACGTTTCTGCCTTTGTTAGTTGTGATGTATCTGACAGGAAAGTTCTTTTGACTAGTTGGTTAGTGCGAGCGTTAAGAGGGCCATGTGTTTCGCAAACCACTTTCATTTGCGAACCATATGTGCTGCACAAATGACACCCGTTATCTCAGTTGTTAAGTTGTTTTAGTATATTTTCCTGAAGGAACACTACTCACAAGGCCACTGCCGACGAGTTTTCGCTAACCTTGTGAGTGGTGATCCTTCAGGACAATGTGCTAATTCTGCGTGTTTCCGTCAGTCTGTTGACGTAAAAGCTTGTGTCAGTTGACTGATATCTGCTCGCTGAGCATCGTTCACTTCTCCTCACCCAAGCAGAGCAGTGCTTAACAAACGAAAACTGGGATTAGTAACTTATGTTAGTTCCTCATTCAGTGCTTTTGAATTTAGTGTATCGTGAATTTATTTTTCTGCTACAACAGTAACTACTGCACCAAGCATTTTCTTGTAGCAACGTTCATTCGTGTGCTTTTACAAGCATTGAGTAAGGGAACTGTCTATGGTTGGACAACCTTGAAAAACCTACGCTCTTCTGCTTCCTTCGGTGGCATGGAATGCAGGCACAAAATGGGCGTTACGAATGTACGAAAGGGACTGGAACTGGTAAACCTCATCGATTCAATACACGTCTTCATTGTTTTACTTGCTCAATGTCTGAATTTGTCAGGGACAGATGGTCTGTTTTCCTGCTCATTTCGTCCGCTTGAACTGAGTTAGAATAGGATAGAAAAAAACAATAAGACAGACGTGACAAACACGAAACCGACAACTTTTCGGGTTGCCCGCTCAATGTTGCCGAATTGGAGTGTCACCATTATCCATCCACTTGGCTACTCCTTTGTTTTCTGATTGTACAGAGAGCTACGCTCCGCTGTCATGCTAGAATTCTTCAGGCTGCTGTATTAGAAAAAATACGTTCTGACAGATTTTTCTGATGTTAAGATGCCCTTTAGCAACGACTAATGGACAAAGATTCAATGAATAGTGAGTGTGTAACAACTGTGATACTGGTTCAGATTAGCCAGACCATGGAGATCATAAATAGTCCTGCTGAAANAGTAGGTAGTAAAAGAACTAAATGCGTGACATTTCATCTAAACTTTCGTCTGGTAAATGACGGTGCCCTTGTAGGGAATCATCAGCATTGTGCAACTGACGAACATCCAGGAGGGTTCACACTTGCAGCTTCATGGTTGGTAGTCATGGATTCGATCTTTGGGCCTCGAGCTGCTGATCAGCAGTGTAATTAGGTGAGATAGAGCATCAGACCCTTTGGTCAGAGAATCCGCACAGGCGCTCAAGCGTTGACTGGTTACTTTAGTGAAGATACATCAGCTGGAAAGTTCATCTGGGCTAGTTAGAAACTGTTGCAAGCATAAGGACTCTTGAGTTTTCAACCCGTCAGTGAAGCCAATCTATGCTGAAAAACCGAGAAGCAGTGTTCAGCTGTTTCATCAGTTGTTTCGAATTCGCGGGCTTTTGTTCAGTGGTTGAACAGTTTTCAGTTCAACCACGACTGGCTGAAAACGGCGTGATTAGCTCTCACATACAGGCATTCATCAATAGAGTCATTTGAATCATAGAAATCACATCACATGACCACGTAGTGATATACCCTTCAAATGGCAACTGCTCAGATGGGATTTTCACACATTTGAAAACACTTTTCTTCTGAGCCAAGTGTGAGGGAGTCTGGAGAGTGCTTCTCATCCTTCCAGCATAAATTGACATTAGCGACAGAAAGAAATCTCATTTGAAAAGATTCTTAGAAGTGGTTCTTAGAACAGTGAGAAGTGGGGCTTTTTGGAAGAAATTTCGTCCCGCCTTTGAACTCAATATGACTGGTTTCAACTCACTTTAATACTCCCTTCCAATGCAACAAAAGTATCCAAGTTTTAGAAGGACGTTAAAATATCCAAAACACAGGTAAAAGTTGACAACAAACTAAAAGTTACATTCAGCGTTGGAACAAAAAGCATATTGACTTTAGATTAAGGAGTGGACAAGCCTTACAAAGCGGATCGCGAATAACAAGCCCAAGTTTGTTTCCGAGAATGTTGATTTCTCTTGGAACGTAAATCGTGAAGTTGAAACTGAATTCATTCTGACCTAATCTCGTTTTTCGTTAGTATGAATATAGGCATATAACTATGGACTACAGGTCATATGATAGTAGCGGAATTCTTTAATCAACTCCGTCTAATCAAGCAGCGCTCCTGACGTCGGTTGCTACTGCATTGATCCATGATCATCTGCGATTTAGAAAGTATGTTCCGCAGCTCAGTGGTTTGAAAGAAAACACATAGTGTGTCACAGATGAGACTCAATTTCGTTTGCTGGACCGATTGTGATGCTCTTGCTCACAGTTCTTATTGTTCATTTCACAAATCCTATTTTCGCCTTTCCACAGTTAGCTTGGCACAACCGCTTCTGATCGATAAAATGCTTGCAGTTTGCATAACTTCAAAAGCTCCGAAGCGGTTATTTTCTTAGCAGAAACTTCTCAGCTGTATAAACCGGAAGTAGGTTTAAAAGTCTGCGGGCAGTAACCTGAAGTATCCATCCAAAATGCCACACCCCAAACACCCACGTGACGAGCCAGAATGAGGACGAATAATCACGTGCCACGGATCTTTTCTAAATCCGACCGAATCTGCGCTACAAACATCCGGTGCGATTCCGAACTCTCCGTTTGTCCAGTATCACGTCCGTCCCGACAATCGATGGTTAATCCACTGAAACGTTTGACCGTTCGCAATATCAGAGAACAAACAGCTGTCTAGATGATCCATATCTGTAGTTTGAAACTTGAATTCAATAGTTGGGTGGGGTTTTCTCAGTAACCGCGGATTGTCGATACTCTGAATGTGAAATTGGAACAATTCTTTGCTATCAAAAGAACACCTGTGAGGCACCTTTCACCTGATCCCTGTATCGTACATGTAGCGGATATTGTCTCAATGTGTTATGTAGTTCTCGGAAACGGTGACCTAATCAACTACATTCCACACAATATGCATGAATTCATGTTGCCTAGTTTCCGAAACACTTCTTGGAACAGTCTTGTTCCAAAACCGCCGACATATTCAGCTGTTTGCTTGTACTAACTGCTGACCGAATGTGCACTTTCCTGGTGCGCTCACGTGAACGGTTCAGGATCGTCGTCCAACGAAAGGGGCTTCATGCAGCTGTAAAACTATAGGAATAACGGTGATTAAGTTAAGAGCAACTGTTCAGTGAAGGTTAGAGTAGGCAAGTCAGTGTCAGTGCCCGTCGACTTACCTGGACATGAGAGTTGACAGTGAATCTGGGGAAGAAGAAGAAGGCGGCCTGGTGCAGAACATTCAGTTGCCTGGATACATCACAAACGAGAGATTCACCTGGGTTCCGAGCGAGACTCACGCAAAACCAAATTAGTTTGCAAATGAGTGACATCACAAACGAGAGATTCACCTGGGGTTCCGAGCGGACTCACGCAAAACCAAATTAGTTTGCAAATGAGTGCACATTTGCTTATTTCGTGCAGTTTGGTTTCAAGCGGAATATAAGGCTGACGGAAACTTGGAGACTACACCTGCCTGATGAGCCCTAAGAAGGGAGAAACCGGTCGTGGGCTGTCGACGAATTTCAGCAACCTTATGAGTAGTACATTACGACTATACACGTATCGCAATACCTCGAATATCGTAGCGACTGAAACATGAGGCGGCCTGGTGCAGCACATTCAGTTGCCTGAAAACATCACAAACGAGGGATTCGACTGGTTTTCAGGTGAGTCTCTCGAAAAACTAAATTAGTTTGCAAATGAGTGCATTTCGCTAACAAGGCACGAACTTTACACAGACGACTTGATGTTGCTACAACTCCAAAAACGAGCACATTTTACACCTGGAATTATTTAAGAGTCTGACGTTCAGAGAACGGCGCTCATTCACTTTGTTAAGATGGCACTAAAGCAACGTACAATTAAATCTCTCTCATCGTTTCAGCCGAATGTACTACACTAAGATGGCCTCGTTGTTCACTAACCTCTTAGTTTGCAAGTAACTGATTATCCAAGCAACTGCCACGTGGTGAGATAAGAAATGAAACGAGAACTAACTCTGTTTGATTCACTTCATAATAGCGAACCAGTGGTGGGCTCTAGATAAGCTTTCATTAGACGTTTTGTGGAAAAATGGTCTGAGATTCCAAGTGTCGGCCTCATATGGGATAACGACTATTCCTTTTAGCTCTGTTTACTATTTTGTTTGACGAATGATTGCTGAACTCTTGACAAAACTACTAATTTGTCAATGTTCTCTGTTCAGAGGTGAAATCGTGGGACAGGGTTATGTTAGGTCTCACCGGTTTCCACAAGTAGCCTCTAGGCACTGTGACTTCTTGAGCGAACGGATCGAGGGGTTCTTTTTTCAGTGCATCACATGTACAAAGTTTCTGTAGTCTGGCAGCCTGTCTACCTGTCTGTCTGTCTGTCTAGCTATCTCTGTCTGTCTGTCTGCCTGTCTGTCCGTCCGTCCGCCTGTCTGTCTGTTGTGTGTATGTATGTATGTATGTATGTATGTATGTATGTATGTATGTATGTATGTATGTATGTATGTATGTATGTATGTATGTATGTATGTATGTATGTATGGTTTTTAACGTGCAGTTTTCAGTACCCCCTGTATCAAAGTCTCTTGATCGTAACAAAATACACCAACGGTGTAACTGCATGAAATGACATCAAAAATGTATACTAAGTAGTTCGTGATCCCGTTCACTGTCACTCGCTCTGTGATAGCTTGGCATAAACGGACCTTTTTAATCCTGTTTCTCTGTTAGGTGATTAGTGAAATGACATTTCTTCATTTGCTCTTGTCCTCTTCAGGGGAGATTGCGGTTCGTGTGTTTAGAGCCTGTTCCGAACTTGGGATACGAACAGTGGCAGTATACAGTGAGCAAGACAGACTGCTTCTACACCGTCAAAAATCCGACGAGTCCTATCTGATTGGGGAGGGACTCGCCCCAGTGGATGCCTATTTAAACATCCCCGAGATAATCAGTGTCGCGAAGGTAGGTTTTTCCTAGAGTGGTAGACACAGAAAAGACTAACCAAGCCAAAAAGTCATACTTATCGCATATACTTATGTTCTGAAGGGGACGATTTTGCTCATTTATCCTGTCACCTCTTTCCTGCAGCAGTAGCATTGGTTTTCAAAATTTAATGGTGCTTGGTTTTGTGGGCTTTGCAAAATTAATCCTATCTTGCGCTTTCCTTCTAAAACTGTCGCGGTAGGACTGCGCCTTACTAGCATGGACGTCATGGTAACCTGAAGTTCTCATGCTGAAAAGACAACTTTTGTTTGCTTCGTATCACTTGTCCACTCTCTGCTTGTATCACCGCATCAAGAACACACTACTCCCAGTCCTAACCCAAAATTATTTACCCATTAGTAGCACGGTACGCATACCAAGACAGACAGATTGAAGCATTCTGTTGTAAATTCGTCGTGAAAATCCGCAGACCGGGGGTGGGGTAAGACGAATTTGGAATGGAGTGACTCTTTTGAGGGGATATCAACCTAGGCAGAACGCATCGCTTGTAAAGTAGCTGAAAAATCTTTGACAGCTCACGACCGCCTTCATGAGGCCCATCAGATAGGCGCAGCCTCCGAGTTTCTGGTCTTTTGAAATTCGTCATCCATATCACCGTCTGGCAAGGAACCGATTCAAGCCGTTACTGCTTGGCATCCAGTCATCAGTCGTTGGGCCATCACAACACGACCTTCTTTAGTGGATCTGAAGTTTCCTAGCGTGTGTAGAACAAAACAGAGATGTTTTGTCTTGTTCATTGCTGGCGAACGGTTGCTAGTATTCCAGCATACCATTTCACTGCAACCCTCTTGTAACTTCGGGATCGACTTCACTACAAAAGTCGTCTGGTAGGCTTTGATGAAGCCTTTATGCTTGCACATTATCCAATAAGAATGTAAACCAATCAGTGGGCAAAGTTTGTGCCGCTGTCATAACTTGTAGTGATTAGAAGTGACGCTTGGCTAAAACTTGTGTTGAAGAAGCCATTTCGTGATTTCTGGGTGTAGCAGCTAACCACAATGCCAACTGCAATCACTCGGACAAAGTACCCTTACGGTGACTAGCTAGGAAATGACTCAAGACAAACTCGAGGACTGAGGTACTGCCAGGTTGCCTCAGTCTAGACAGGAGCAGTCAACAAGCAGAAATTCTACATTCTAACCTTCAGCATCGTGATAGAGCACTTTGAAGCGCATGCGTCAGGCTACATTCCAACTGTTGATACTGAAATGGCGCAACCAAGCCAAAAGCGTCTCTGAGAGAAACCCATCACATAGGCTTTGAAGTTAGGCTCACACCCATCGGTCACACTGGGCATGGGGCTTGTCGAGGTCATCTGTAGACCAAATGGGCGACAAACATATTTGCATCAACTCGCTTCTACTGGGGAGTCTATCCCTCATAGATAATGTCGTGACAAAAGTAAATCGGGTGGTGGTCAGTTTCTACTGCTTGTCAGCAATTCCACCTATTGCCAAACAGCTTCGCCGATCGAACTGAGCGGCAGACGGCCTAGTTGTACTGAATTCAACAAAGTGACTACCAATGAATGCAAAGTGAGTCATCACCGGCTTTAAAAAAACGCGTAATTGTTGAACAGTAGTTGATACCTGTCACGGTTTCATTCGCCGATGATCTTAGGAGGTTGAGATGAATAGATGGTACACATCTGTGGCCGTCATCGATATAACTCACGTGTGAATATAGAGATTTTAATAAACTTCCTAAAGGGGAGATCTGGATTGGAAGTTGTTATATCTGCTGATTCGCCTATCTGTGGTATCTGCTGCTGACCCGCTTCAGTGGTTAGTTGCCGAGAGAAAAGACTTACAGAAGGGAACACAACAGCTGTATTCCTAAGAAGTGAGTGCGAGAGCGTGAGTGCGTGCGAATGCGAATATACAACGGTCTCAATCTGAACTTGGTCCAATGCTGACGCACGCGGTCTGGCTTCGTATGAGGATGTGACGTGCTTGATACTGCGGGGGCGTCGTCTGACCCTGATCAACACTGGCTCGCGCTGCCTGGGTTTGATGCAAGGCTGTCAAACGCGCAATGTTGAGGGAGCGTTGTCTGTCTGGTCAGCATCTAGCAGAGCTGAGGATCTCAATAGATTCCGGGCATTCAGTGGTTGCTTTCAGGAATCCGACCTTCCTGATAGAAGTCATGTATTGAAAGCAACACCTTGGCTGTAGATGCACTATGAAGCGCACGACTGGGACATGTCTGTCAATGTCTCCAACCACTGATGTCTCTCGTCCAGGATACCTCATCTAGTAAGACGGCAATGACCAGCACAGAAGAAGTTGCCGGAAATGGCTACCATACTTCGTTGCCAAGTCATTGCCTGACCTCTCCTAGCTCGTTTCTACCCTTTGCATGCTTGTACGAAAACGGCTTTTCAAGAAAGCCGGTCGAATAACAAATGAAGTACAAAACTAATCCAGCGCAACCTACGGAGTTCATCCATAGTGGGTGAGTTATTTCTTCTAAAAACCATTTGTACTTCAGAAGTGCTTGGTCGATGAGCTCACTAGACTCAGGAAACGCTCCAAAGACATCCTCATTGTTCGAGTTTACATTTTAAATAACAATGTGGAGCACACCACAACATCGTAAACTCGACCCGTGAAGGAAAATCTGATGTCAATGTCGCGCCACAGGCTATACAGGTTCCCAAAAGTTTCCCCTAGATCACGATCTCTTCGGACAGGAGTAGCTCAGCTGACTTTGCTCAAGATTTGGGTTCCACAGACATCAGGATAATTTGCTGAGCTCTTATGCAGTAAATCAAGACCACTGTGACAAAGTGAAATGTTCAATGGAAAATTTATCAAAAGAGTTGTACTATTCGATATAAAACAAACTGTCTGTAGAGTGAAAAGGGTTCTTATTCCAACATTGGTGTTACCTTGGTGTCATGATGTCATCGTTCTTGACAACTGCCCTACTTTGACCCCAGGAAAACGACGTGGATGCTATACATCCAGGATATGGATTCCTTAGCGAGAGGTCAGACTTTGCAAAAGCATGCGAAGATGCGGGAATTATATTTGTCGGTCCGCCGTCTGCTGTTGTCAACAAACTGGGGAACAAGGTAGAGGCGCGGCAAGCCGCTCTGGACGCCAAGGTTTCGGTAAGTATGTTTGCTTCTGTCAGGTAATCGTTCAGTGTTGTTTAAATCCGGTAATCAGTCCTCTTTCAACCGCATCGTAAAAGTTCCAGGTAGACCTGACAGATTCACACTTTGTTTGAAGGAAGGAAAGAAGAAGGAAGATCACTCTGAGTCACCAAGGTAACGTTCTGAAAATTAGGAGTTATACACACGAAACTCTCTCATCTTTTTACATTCGATTCTTCCCGATTTAGATCGCCGTACTTAGTCAGCATCTAACGTGTATGATCACGTGATTACTCAGGACCCACTGTTCATAACGCAATATGATGCCTCTAGCAACCCGTTGATCAGTTCATCAACAGGACTGGGCTGCATTCAATACGCTTCTACTAAACCTTTAACAGCAAAGGCTTTCGGTCAGCTCTGACAGGTAAAACATAACGTTATTCTTCACGTGCAAATATCGGGTTACGGTACGGTGGGACGGTCGTTCTCCATCACCTTTGTCATAAACGCGTTAGAGGGTTACTGTCGAAAAGTCTTCTCCGTCATTAAACTTTGTGTGTGTTCTGATTTCCCAGTTCGCGAATGGTGGAACCTTTTAACTGGTTCAGTCGTGAACGATTTGTGTCAATACAGCGCACGTGGACGGAACGCGCTTACCAAGTGGGAGCCACCGAATTCAGCGGACATAGATTCTTAGAGCATCACTACCAGACACGTGACTGCTGTCACCTGTGTGGGTGACCGTCATGGAGAACAAATGACCCGATTTGGAGGAGTGACCTTTTACAACACATCGTTTTGTTTCACAATCACGAAAAGGTAGGCGCAGTCCTCGAGTTTCCGTCAACCTTATGTTCTACTTGAAACCGAATTGCACGAAATTAACGAAATGCGTCCATTCGCAAACAACTTTGGTTTTGCGAGAGGCTCACCTGGAACCCAGCTGAATCTCTCGACACCTCACGACCGGTTTCACCCTTCCTGGGGCTCATCAGGTAGGTGCTTAAAAACACCATAAGCGAGAGATTCAGCTGCGTTCCAGGTGAGTCTCTCGCAAAACCAATTTTGTTTGCAACTGAGCGTGTTTCTCTAGAAATTCCAACACACTGACTAAAGATATCGGTGGCTCCCAACGGAAAGGGATCTGGTGAGCAAAGGATAGTTCTGGTTGCTGCAAATGTCTTTTCAAAAAAGCATCATTTGCCCCCAATCTTTGGGAAATTCTCATTTTGGATTTAGGTTACTCCTTACGACAAATTCCGTCCGAGATGATTGCCACAACGTTTTTCCTTACGTGGATTATAGAACCGATAACTAATGTCCTGAGTGAAACAATATAGATGAAATTAAGCCACTAGAGCCGGCAAATTCTGTATAGATTTTTCACAGATGTTCGTAGTATCCTTGAGTCATTAGAACAGGATATTTTTAGTAGGTGTTTTTTTCGGGCCCTAGGTTTCGATCACCAACCACAAGTAGTCTGCATATGATTAGGCAAAATTAACAAAACAAATAGGACACACCTCAAGTGAGTCACACATTCGTAGGGTTTACATATCCTTTGTTTATCTTATTGATTGAAACTTCCCGCAAGATGTGTGGAGCGAAAGAGCGTGAGGTCAAGGTCACGCTATTGATAAGCGCTGATGGGTTCTGTCCACCAGCTGGATTGGATACGTACGCCAAGATGTGTGCTGTTTGATCAGGCTAGAATTATTAGAAAAGGTCTGCGGTTTTGTTTGTCACTCAAACCATTCATCCACACAAGACGTTTTTCATCGGGCATAGCTCATTAAACGTGATGTGCCTGAAAAAAAAAACAGTGAAATTAACCAGTTCCGCTTGTTATACGTGACCAGTATAAGTTTCCGTTTATGCTGCTCTGTTCAACCAGTCAGCCCACGGCCAAATTGTCAGGTTATTTATCTTAGACATTAACTTATCCAAACCAGGAACCTAATGGTTATCTAAGCCCTGGATTGGAGTTTGATTTACACTGAGAATGTCCGTCGGTGTTTGAAAATCGGAGATTCAAAAGGACTGTGTCAATCATGTCAAAACATCCGGTCTAATTCCGAACACCTGGGTTGATGGTAACCTATCTCTCTGTGAGGATTAATTAATACACAGTCCTCGCATGTAGTACCATGTAGTAGTATTCACTAATGTTTCCAGATCCTTTCATACCTTAAAAATAGCCCGGTTCAAATCAACTTACTGGGGACAGTCCTGACCCAATCACTCTGCTGAGTCCACGCTACATTGGAGAGGGAAAGCACTAACCTTGAATTTCGCTCTAATCAACAGTGAGTGTGCACTTTCATGGTCTTGCTTGACACTCAACTCAGCGCGTGTTACGACTCCTCTGTCAGTCCAAACAGGACACGTCAAAGTTGTCACACCTGAACCGGTGTGCGTGTTCGCTCGTGTGCGCAGCTCAAAACCGACGTGAACTCTACGCATTCCGCAAGCACATACAATGAAATATATCCTAAGGTGACCCTACAACGCGATCACTGAGAAAATAGTAGTAAAAAAAAGAACGGAGAGATGAACAGAGTGAGAGTTTCTTTTGGCCTCCGGTGGAAGCGCGCGAGCAGGAGTGCATGAGGGGTACCATGGCAACGACCTCAGCTCAACCCATCTCAAATTTTCCGGGGTTATCTCTGTCCACGGGGAAACGCCGACCTTAAGTACGTGATGATCACCTGACGTGGTCAGGTACTCTCCCTCGAAAACAGAGCAGTAAACACCGGTTTCTAGTTTGGTGTTATTTATTCGCCTACCCACATGACAGTCACATGCAAAGCCGGGACTCTTCGGTTATATCCTCAGTAAAACTGTTGTTGCCACCTAAACTCATGATCTGCAAAACCGGGTTACTGATCCGTTAAGTATGGCGACAGTAACTTCTTCATTGACCAACCAATGGCTTGGAATTCCTGTCGAATAGTGCACCTTTCACATTGTACCCATTTCTCGGATATCCACATTACATACTACTGAAATACACTCATACGACAAACTTGTAGCCATGTCCGCAGTCAGAGTTGTTGGCGCTTTGTGTATTCCGTAGAACTGCTGGCAGTGCCACTGCTGCCGCTCGTGTACAAACGGTGCAGCCTGGTTTGTGAGGGAGGTCGGTGGGATGCGCATTTCTGAGAACTGAACCAACTAAACAATGCTCTGTGTCCTTTTGGTCTAAACTGGTTTCATTCACAGGACGAAATGTCCAGAGGGAACCCGGGGTATTTTTAAAGAATTATGGTGGCAGTAAGTCATCCCCTGGTGAAATCACTGTGTCTACACTTCCCAGATTATCCCTGGCAGTCCCGGACCAGTTACTTCTGTGGAAGAAGCAACGAGGTTCACTGAAGAACATGGTTTGCCAATAATTCTGAAAGCCGCTTATGGTGGTGGCGGACGTGGGATGCGTGTGGTGCATGACCGGAAGGTGAGTCACTTAGAGCTGGTAAGCCATCGGTTGTTGTGCAGTTGTGAAAGATAGACAAAAATTCTGTCATCCCACTCCGTTCGTTCCCCTAAACCATGGCACTATTTCACGCTGTTTTAGCTTACAAACGGACCTGAACAGATATGCAAATGAGTAAAGTCCAGTGAGCTGTGATTTCATGCAACCATTGGGCATGCACTGTGTTTCGAGGTGTCCAAATAGTGCTTCGCTGCATGAATTCAAGCCACATGCTCTCATTGCGTGCTTATGACAGAAGACACCGTTTCTACCGACTAACTTTGGGATTCCTCATCTGTGATCGTGCATTTGTACTTATTCGTACCAACCCACTGCATGTCTACATCATTACAGGACACCCAAGGTGTGGTTACCACTGCTAGTTATGACAGAGTTTGCAAGATGTTGAAGCCATCTGACATCTTTAGAGATTGCTCTGCACATTCCCATCGTTCGTGCCGTTTCTCAGTCCGAGTAAACGGGAAACTGTCCTGATCAACACTTCTTTCTAGCTCAATATTAACTGGACTAGCAAAGTACCTGAGATTCCTTGTTTTACATTATAGTTGTCCACATTCAAAGACCAGTTAAACGGGGCTTAGGGATAACCTTCATTTGTTCATTGGGGGACTTCAAACTGATCGCGCTCCTTTGAATTACCCCCGGCAGGTGAACCAGTAGGCTGTCACTCGGTCACCGCCTGTTACTGCGAGGAAGGCCTTCAGCATATCCTCTAATCAGTCTGATTCGTTCGAAAATCTCTTGAAGTCTGGGAGATACGCATGAACCTGGTTCGATTCACTTATGGGTGTGTTGAAAACTTGACTCAGGAGCAAGGCTGACAGGGGAGTCGATATGAGTTCGGACATCCAGGCGCTCAACGTGCCAAGGAATAGCGGTCATTGATTTCGAGTAAATCGCCCGAGTAACTTATTATTGGAGTCGGCAGTTGGTGTCCTTCCTCAGTCAACTACTCATAGAATGTCAGTAAACAAGTGTAGTTTCTTGGACCGAGAGAGAACCTCCGAAAATGATGCCAGTGTGGCGTTCTGTCACTGCCATCCTGCTGTTCAATTGTTTGCCTACCCATGTTTCCCCCATAACTTCGATCCTAGCGATTTCAAGCCACGACTTCACGTTCATATTTCATGGGCCACCGTGAGAAAATATTTGGATTACATCCTGATACCGCGCTGCGGACCGAGCTTCGGTGGCCCGTTCTTATCAGTGGACCTCAACACTCTGATAGGTGTCTTTTTCGTACTCTCATTGAATCTCCCAGCGACTTTTGAATGGAACTTCTTCACTGTCGTGTCACGGGAGTCACCAACTTAGACCTCTGCTCGGTTGCGCACTTGGTGTCTCCTAATATATCCGACTGGGCTGAAAGTTTGCCAGTCCTTAACAAAGCGACGCTTGCCGACCGCAGAGGCGTCCTGTTCAACTATCGCATCCTCCATTAAACGAGTGATATCCAGTGGCAGCCATAAGCACTCCTACGTTCTGGCCTTTGCGTACGCATAGCAAGGCCAATTATTTGCTCAAGAAGCTAACGGTGTTTTGAGTTCTGTTGCACCGGCATCTGATCTAGGACGGTAACTCACCTTTTAGCGCTGCCATCAAAACATCCAGAGAACACCCAAAGACGCCGCACTTTTGAACTACAAGGAAATAAGGAATCTTCTCAGCTTACAGTGAGTCTAAAGCTGAGTCATGCCATTTTCAACAATCAGAACAAGTTGTTTTTTATCAAAATGGAACCTATGCATACTAGACAGATGTCAGCCTGGGGAGAGCTAACTCCGTTTATCCTCTCCTGATTGGTAGATCTGATTTGTTAGAGAGGTGGGAGCCTACATTTGAGCGGTGAGGTAGGTTTCCTTGACCTTGGTGTCGCGATTCAAAAAGGAATTAAGGTTAAAGAACACTGCAAAGGTTCTCAACTTCAGATCATCAGGTAATGAATTTCGTTAAGTATTCCTAACCCCCGAAAAAACGTGCCCAAATGACCACATTGCAGTCTTGACTGAACTGTCAGTCTTAGAACTACACTAATCTACCAATTTTGCTATGATTTCAGTGGTCACCAGAGGAGAATGGGCTTGGAAGAGGCTAGGAGATAATGGCGAAGAACTAGTGTGCAAGTGTTTATCTCAAAGTTCATTTCATGACAGAGGATGTAGCCAAAAATCAGCTCGAAGATACCTTCCCATTGGATACTTTGATGTTTGTCGCATTGCTCTTTAAACATTTCCACTGTCTGCATGCCGTTTTACTCAATCGGTGTTCTTACAAATCCTCGTCTTCATTTCCTCAGTGGATCGGTCAACTGTTGACTAAAATCGATACACATTTCGGGTTAGGAGGACGTGAAAAAGACGGTTGATTCGAAGGTCTGACTTCAAGTTACATATCCTCAACTTAAAGCGAATAAGCTTTGCCCCCTTCAGTCCAATGGATTCGTCTTGTTTGTCTTTTTTCTTCTCCTTTTTTGTTCTTCCGTTTGATTGCTTCGTTCCTTTCGGTTTCAGGCCGTTGCGGAGAACTTCGAGATTGCCTCGTCTGAAGCAAAAGCGTCGTTTGGTGACGGTGCCATGTTTATAGAAAGATTTATTGAACACCCGAGGCATATTGAAGTCCAGATTCTGGGTAGGTCTTTTTTCCGGAAAGCGGTTCTGACGTAGGCCCCTGAGTCAGGCTTTTTTGAACCGGTGATAATTCGATTCAATCTATTTGGTATTCACGTTGAATTCGTATGTTACGCGTGTGTTTATGTCACAATTATTCACACGGTTGATCAATTCTTTTTTAAGCAAAATCATGTCATTTCGACAATCAGGTGCGAATTCACCTGTGTTGTAATCAAATTATTTCGAAAAAACTACGGGTACCGCCTCAGAAAAGTCTATCGAACCATCAGCGCATTCACTGTTTGGTAAAGTTTTGTTATTCACACCAAAGGTTCATCGGAGAGACACGCCCAGGTAGACCAAATCATCTTAGACGTCGGTGACAAGCACCTGACAGAAAAATTGTCCAGTATAGCACCCCTTCGGTGACTAGCTGCTATGTCACCCGGAAGAAGCACGGGGGCCAACATACCAGGAGCATTCGAGATGCAGAGATTGGGTCCGAACCGCGGACCTTCCGGACAGTGGGCTCGCATCTTAGCCACTGAGCTATCTCAAGCTTGATGGTTAATATGCAGGACTAAGTTATATGAACAACGAGTTGGGAAGCATAGCCTTCAACAAGTTAAAATCTGTAGTCTTTATTCATGTAGGCAGTCTTAAGCACCGTCAAACCATGGACACGGTGTAACTTATGGAATGTGCTATATTTCTAAAAACCACGAGAAACCTCACAGTAGACCCTCTTTACAAGAGCACTCTAGGTCTCCAAACAAGCATAACTTCCCTTGATAGAGGCCAATCCCCCCAGTAGCCTAGCACAGTTCGATATACCCACAATTTTAAGCCGCCGTGACCATCCAAGTTCAAGAAAATTTACTGAATGCGGTTCCAGTACACTGCTGATCATCCATCCGTGACCGAACGGTTTGATGTTCAGACTATTAGCCGGGAGGTCACGGGATCAACCTCCCCTCAGGCTTTGTGAGGTGAACATTGCTCATGCTTCCCAAAAAGCACGAAACAGCTATGCAGTGCTCCTTGGTTTCCTAGCATAAGTTGGCTCCACTTACAGGACAACATATACACTAGTGATTCTCAAACCCTCAAGCTACTGTTAGGGCAATTTCTTCGAACATGAATGACTCTGTACCGAGTCAAGGCTGGTTGTATAATTCAGACAATTCCAAATCGATTTGATCAATATTTGGGCTGTACCTCTCCCCCTGGGATGTGTAACGGTCACTTTCATCCTAAGCTGACCAGTGGGTTACTTGGGGTTACTAGAAGTCACTAGAAAGCTCACTATCTTGTGAACTCGCCTCTGAGTGTTTATATCCTGGATGAAATACTGACAAAAACACCCGCCTTGGAGCAGGAACGCGTGCTCCCACAAAGCCACCAAGAGATGAAAGTCGACAGTACCAAGTGTTTGGAATGTTTATTCGACTGAAAACAACCGTCGAACCCTGAAAAATGACACGTGGATGATGTTACTTCAAGGTGATTAGCTCTGAACTAATTGGGTGGATGCCCAATCACTTTTGGCTGAAGAATCTCGCTGACACCTTGGCTGTTCCAGCAACGATCCAAGTAGGATTTGTTGAACACAAGAAATGTAACTGCTCAGTTATTTTCACAAACCCTCGGGGAGAATACATGCTTTTAACGACATAATTCTTCAAGAGAGGGAATGGTCACCATATGGTGGATTTGCCCGACTGACAGGGCTGCATCAAACTCTGGAAAATTTACTACAATTCGTGGATCGATGGACGCGAATAAATCCCCGTAATTTTGTACAAATCTCACCACCCATGATAGAAAAAATGGCGCCCATGTGAATGAAACATTGGAAGAACTTCGGTATGGATGTTTCAGTTGGAATTGCTGTGAGTTCAGTTAGTGGGGGTACTAATTTAGCGCTGTAACTGATGGAAAAGCGGTAACAATATGGTAGTGGCTGATAGTAACACACCGAACGATATACAACAACCGCACCAGTGATCCAATAACTTGACATTGGAATATTGCAAGTTATCGGGTTGATGTATCTTCTGATGAACGAATAACGGTGGCTGCAATGAACAACTGAGACGAGAAATACACTCATTTGCAAATCAGTTTGGTTTTCACGAGAGACTGAACTGAATCTCCCGTTTATGATATTCTGCAACTGAATGTGCTGCACACAGGCCGCCTCATGATTCAGTTGGCACGATATTCTATATATCGCAGTATATTTTCACAAGGTTGCTGAAAACTCTTCGCCCTTCTTGGGGCTCAAATTAAATTGATTTGCAAATGAGTGTATTTCTCGAAAACAGTCCAATTTGGGTTCAAGTAGAACATAAGGTTGACGGAAACTCGGGGACTGCGCCTACCTGATGAGCCCAAATTGGAAGGGCTAAACCGGTCGTGGGCTGTCGAAGACTTTTCAGCAACCTTGTGAGTAGTTTCCCTTATGAAAACAACTGAGACGGTCTTAGGCTACATTCGGTCCAAAAGAATGCACGTTAGGCTTAACTCAGGATGTTCCTTTCCAATCGAAAAAATGAACTACAACAAAGGTAATGTTGGGTTAAGTAATGTGAGTTTGAAGTTTGCTTACTATAATGTGAAAGATGTTTGACATGTTGGGAGAACTTCTCAAGTGCACCGAGTTCACAGTCATCCTAAAGTGTCCTATCGCAAGTTATGAACTGAGCGATTGCCCCAGTTGCTGGTAACACGGAAAATAGCTGGGACCGGGGAATGCCGTAATTTATGTTGTGTGCGGTTTCTTCTGGCAGATGGGTGTAGCAGCTTGGCGCGGTCAGTCGACCAGCCTGGTTGAACAGATCGATCAAAACTGGGCTTGTGTTTACACACCACATTGATTGGGAACTATCCTCTCCTGTTTTGCAGCAACTGTTCTACTGGGTCTACACACCAAAGCGAAAAAGTTAGAACTTGAAGCTGGAACTCAGCCAGTTTTGAACTCCAGATAGCTGACATGCAAAGCAGGTGATTTATCGTTACTGCACCACTTCCCATAAGAGACTTATCGCGTTTGAGCTCGTGAATGTGATGAGTAGGTTACTGGCTCCAATAAGGAATGGATTTGTACAGTATTCATTCCACACAAAGCAGGAACGTTGGAGGTTATGTGAAGACTGTTGAATTCAATTAGCCAACATTCGAGCAGCGTTCAAGAAGGGGAAAACGTTACACTCGGTTTCGGTGCAATTGAAGGATTGGAAGGACTGGGAACTGTGTGTATAAAAGTAAGTGCAGCGATTGCACAGCCAGAGTATTGCACATCAGAAGTGACTATTATAAGAGGGGGATAAACAAATCACCAAAGAATGAGGATGAATACCACGCGGCGTTCAAAGACTCGGCAGTGGCTGGGCATACGTTAGACACAGGATACAGATTATACCTGGAGAGAGTTGAAGTCTTCGATGGCCGATGGCCGAGGTGGTGTGGAGCTGGCAAGTTTACGAAGACCGGTCTTGGATAAGCCGAGTCGAGATGTAACGACGTGTGGGTCTCAATGAACGCAGTGGGCAGAAATCTCAACCCGATCGAATTTCACAGAACCTCTCTTCCACACGGACGGACAAAAAGTATACATGGCATTCAAGAGGAACCTTTGCGTAAGGCGTACCGGAGGAACTTTACCCAACTTTATGAATGTTCCACATCGGTCTTAAAACCTGCTGAACAACCGTGGAAAACGATGTCCTTTTATCGTCATCTAACGCCGATTTAGCCTGACTCAGCTTATTGGTTCTCCTTCCGTCTTAAATATTGACCAACCTCGTAACCTAGTCACTCGGTTTAAGGAAGCTTTCTAGGTCAGAAGCGACACGCCGCCAACAATAAAGCCATCGATTGTTTCCCCAACTTTTCCGAAAATGCTGAATGTGTTCTTTGTCCAACAATTCCGACGATTATGTGGCCATTGTCCAGACGGTGTCCTCTGCCAGTCAGATATTCCCAAGCGCTGCCAGCGACTCCACTCAAGCAGATAGTAAAACGCCAGTCAGCTTTTCAACTTCGGATGATTACTTTTCTATTGAAAAATCAGTCGCCACCACGTCGAAATCACTTGAGTAAGCTGGAGATCCCCTCGAAAGTGTGGAAAACGGTTAAACAGTCAACACTCTGTGTCCATTCCTTCGAGCCGACCTTTTCAAACCTGCTGTGTATCTGATTAGCCTGAATCCAAAATAGCGATCCAAATCGACTTAATAAGCTATTCATAAAGTTAGCGACGTACACTCATTTGCACACCGATTTGGTTTTGTGACAGACTCACCTGGAACCCAGCTGAATCCCTCGTTTGTGATTTTTCCAGGCAACAGAATGTGCTGCACACAGGCCACCTCATGATTCAGTCGCTACGATATTCGAGATATCGCGATACATGTATATTCGTAATGCACTACTCATACACTACTCGTGCTATTTGGTTTTAGGTAAAACATGAGGTCGACGGAAACTCGGGGACTGTGCCTATCGGATGAGCTCCAAGAAGGGTGAAACCGGTCGTGGGCTGTCGACGAATTTTCAGCAACCTGATGAGTAGCGCATTACGAATATCCATAAGGTTGCTGAAAACCCTAGGACAATCCACGACCGGTATCGACCTTCAGTTTCGGATCCTTGAGGTAGACACAGTTCCTGAGTTTCTGTCTACTTGAACCCAAATCGCACCGAAATACACTGCTATGCATACCCATTTGGTTTTGACGGGAGACTTACCTCGAGTACAGCTGAATATCTCGTTTGTGAAGTTCTTAACCAAATAGATCTTAAGCAACTGCATCATAAGCGAGAGGTTCAGCTGAGTCTCCGGTCAAAGCCAAATTGATATGCAAATGAGTATATTTGTCAGAATGCTTGAAATACTCCGTAAACGAATGGGTCTTGGCGAACACCACAATCGATCAGTCTCACGATCTTTGTTTCCAAAATCTCACCAATGTATGTGCTTCGCATCGATCATTCCTTTGTCAGCCTTTGAGAAACGTTTAAAACATTTTTTGTTACGTGTGCTTGTGTTTGCTCTTCATAGGTGACAAATACGGTGACGTTGTTCATCTTTTCGAACGAGACTGCTCCGTCCAACGTCGACATCAGAAAGTCATCGAAATCGCTCCGGCTCCGTACCTGGACTCAGCAATTCGCAATTCCATTTTGCAGGATGCTGTACGATTGGCCAAGTTTGTTGGGTACGTTCACGATCACATGAACGGTGAATGGCTAAGGATAGAAAAAAGGTGATAATGGATCTATTGATTTGTACATCCAGTCAAGGAAATAACGAGGTCACGTGTGATATGCATGCTTGTATTTGCGTGAAGGGCAGACTTTAGAGTCACATGACAAATACGTCACACATCCAGCCCAACCAATCGCTGCCTGCCTCTTGTCAAAACGCTCAATAGATGTAGCGAACAAAGTAGTTCAGAGAAAGCTAAAGTCTGATTTTGCTCTATTCAGTAGCTAACTCAGCTGACAGTAAGGTTTTTTTTAAAAAAAATACCTATCCAAACTCATGTCCTTTTTGTTATGTGTGTATGCTATGCTTCGGCAGCCAGATGTTGTCAGCTGGTTCGTTTGAATCCATTCAACGACCCCCGCGGCCTGATTGAATGTGACGCCGGGCAATGAATGACAGGCTAAGGTCATGTCTTCATCTGAGATGCGTGTCCATTCCTGCATGTAGTTCCACTTCAGCACCACCGCTGTTAAAGCCATCCTTACGAGCGAACTCATGATGTGAATCAAAAGCCTAACCAGGTTTGATGTGCGTCTCACCCACTTTGACGAAAGCAACTTTCACTGTGGAAGTAGGACAGTCTTCGAGTGTAGCTTGCTTGACCATTTTTACTTTACACATTTGACGGTGCACTAGATCTATGAATACGGTTCTTTACACCTATAAATGAGACACTGAAGTACCCGTTACGGTAGAACCCTTCGAATTTTGACGGAAGCATTTCTAACCTTCAAAAAACCATGTTCAACCTGAAAAGTACTGTGACATGGGCGGCCGTAGAAGAAATCTTTCGGCTGCTGGAGGCAAATTTGCACTCATCCTCTTCGTCTTTCGATATACCGTGTACTATTGATGTTGCATTGGGTACCCTGGGTTTGCCTGCCAAAGTGTTTTGCGTGGAAGTTTGATATTAAATGGATGTTGATGGAAATTTCGCGGTTTTACATTTCGTAGAGGCATTTATAGCCTTCAAACTAGTGGAAAAAGGTTGGGTACCCTGGGTTTGCCTACCGAAGTGTTTCGCGTGAACGTTTGATGTTAAATGGGTGCTGCTGGAAATTTCGCGGTTTTACATTTCGCAACAGCATTTATAGCCTTCAAACTAGTGGAAAAATTAACAGTCATTACGCAAGCTCGATTTCACTCCCCTAGTGGAGGGAAGGGGTAGCAGTTATAAGAGGTTCCTTACATCGATTACTACCACCTAGTGGTCAGTTCATTCAAGGTCACTTCAACCAGTTAGCCAATCAGCATTTTCTGGCATGCTGGTCCATTTAGATGGATCCTTTACCATTCTGGAGCCTTAGGCAGCTTGACATCAAGCTTAAGCAATCCACCCTCTTCTAGTTGTTGCCACGGCTCTCAATGAAGATGGGTACGACATAAGTTGGACAAAGGGGCGAACTAACAAGATTAACAGCTCGGCTGACTGTAGGCGTTCACTGGTTTATGTGGTCCATCAGCCCAGACTGACCAAACTAAAACTCTTCAAGTCAGAGTCGCCCTTATCTCAGTAATCATCTCGATTTCCGTCGTGGAGTTCGATGTGTGACGCTGTTCACGGTAGGTGGATCTTCTCCGCCAATCGACTGTCTGTCCTCTCCTCAAACTGAATGCAATTCACAATTCACGCTCTAACAAAGCGTCAGCTATTGATTACTTGTCTGTACTTCCACGAAAAATAAGATTTCCGAGAGGCGGCAGTTCTGGCTGTTTCTGATTGTTACGGGGACTCCCCGAAGAAACACTTGTCTCTTAAAGATTCTGTGACGTTGTGGTTAGTTACTTCTGATCGTACGGTTCATTTGTGGATCTACGTTGATGAACAGGCTGGCTTTCGCAAACCAACTCATCACGTTATCCGCCAGTTTGGCTTTGAGAAGTTTGTCCGTTTTATTTTCAGATTTTGGCAAAGTCCATCTTCTGCGATGACATAGAGAACCCGGTGTTTGATTTGAGAAGCTTAGTTTGATTTCAAGAAAAAAGGCAGGAGGTCCAAGCGTGGAGTTGATGTATCAACGGAAGAGAACTAAGCAACATCGAAATGGACGAAAACGGAAGGTGTAGCCGTATTTTTCTCTTGGTTTTTGGTTTTCAGAAGAACACAACTGATGTAAGCTTACCTGAACTGCGGTGGACATTGACAAAGATTGTTACCAGTGGCATCAATCGCATCATGCATTCATAAGTTATTCAGGTAATCAGTTCTTTCCACTTGGGAGACTTCCTTCTGATGAAGATGTTCCTTTGAGAAAATGGCGGTTTCTTAGAACAAGCCGTAGCGCCCCTGTACTTGATTACAGAGCATTCACTTGTGTTCACATATTGTGAGTACATTTCATATACGCATCCACTGGAAGTTTACAGTTTGACCGTAATGAATGTTGTATTTATCAACTATTCTCGCACACGTACAAATGAGCCAGCTTCTAAGAAATGAACTTCCCAATTTTCCCGCAGACGTCAATAGCAGTCACGCAAGAAAACAAGTGTAGCATGGAGATGTGAAGTCACGTGACCGGAACTTTCAATAGTAGAAAATCGAGAAATATGGAGGCCGAAGTGCGGCCTGCAGAGTAAGAACTGATGTGCACTCGCTTCATTGTCGTGAAACTCCCGAGACGCCTAAAAGCGGTCAACCTCACCTAGTCCCCTCGAAGAAAGTGGTTTACCATCTGCTGGCACCTCTGAGAAAGCCATTCATTCCCAGAACTTCTCCGCCCCGAAACGGAGAAACCATGATAACACAAAACTACTCATAAGTAGCAAACTGACATGGCTGGCTGCATTTGTGCAATTTTACAAGAAGGATTCGCCTCGATCAAAGTAAACAATAACTCTGCCGAATTTAGGAGGAACGGTTAGGGAAGGGTCCTCGTGCCTCGTTGTATAAAACGCCACACAGCGACTGATATAACAGAGCTTGAGTTGGCGAATAACGTAAGTCAGGCTTGGCAACATTAACTCGATCCCTAACAAGCCATGAATTGGCCAAATTGCTCCTTTACTCACATAAACTGTGGACACTTCATTTTTTGTCTCACAGCAGACTAGAGGTAATGAGATGAGATGCCAAAACTCAGGGGCACCTAAAAACCTGCCATTGTTAATCAATCCGGCTGAAGGAAGGAGGGATGATGACTTTGGCACACCTCAATTCCATATATCATTTGAATTTGTCCAAAAATGATCCACAAACACAGGTTGGTAGTGTGAAATTCCCGTTTGACAACGACATTCGTGAATGATTGCTTCGGAGGCACCTTGATTCAAGAACAAGCTTTCCCCACCTGAAGACGTTATTCCCCAAATCCTTCTAACAGCATGCCCTGAAATTCACTGCGTTAAGAAGTCAACAAAATGGCACATAACTTCCCAAGAGGAGTTGATCTCCCTCAGCGTATGTTCAAACTCCACACTAGTACCGTTTTTCTCTTGTCGAAAAATGCATCACCGCCAGGTTCATTCCCACCTGTGTTGTTATGTAAAAATAAACATTTAGCGTCCCTTAATTTGGTTTGGTTGCATACCAGCAATAGTTTATTCGACATGGCCAGGCGCAAGTCACCATATTTCACGCAGGGAGCATCCGGGGACCAGATCCAGCCAGACGGTAGTGGCTCCACGGTAGCACCTCGAACGTCGATCTACACCTTCCACAGCCATCCAACAACATCTAATAAACAGATCAAGTGATATTTTGCTTCCGGTTCTTCTGAGTGGAACTGAGGATTGTTATCGAAAAATTGAGAACCGTCTAGTTCAGCGCCTATGTTGGATGTTCACTCTCGCTGCACTACAAATCACCTCTTGCAAGCAAGTGGGAATGTAACAATACCAGCCAAAATCTGGTTGTTAGTGAACTGTCTTCGACTCACCGAGCCTCGGTGCTCAGGACGGTTCTTGAACAGTGTTTTAGTGTTAACGGGAACGGTCTGGACTTTAGGATTAACAGAGTTGACATTAAACGTATGCGGACAAACTGACAAAGTACGGTAAGTTCAACCGACGCTGCAGGACAAGCTGAAAGGGTAACCGTGACCCGATTTAAAGCTTCACGAGATTAGGTGGCCACATGAGGGGTTTGTTAGCTATGCGTTCGCCAAGTCTACAACTCTCGTGACTTTGTGATTCGCTACGACACCGAGGAATTTAACCCCCCGCTTGAAGTATGGACCAGATATATGACGATATTTTGAGCGCACCGACCAGCAGTATCTCTCAAGTAGGCCTCATTCTGAAAGCGAGTTTGGTCCTCGTATACATTTAGCGTCTATCAATAACAAATGAAACTAAGGAAACGAAAATCTACCACTTGAGTTAATGGGGCCAAAAAGTATCTTCACACCTGGACTCTCCATTCATCCTTGAATCCTTAAAAATCCCTCTACCTTGCTCCGACCTTTTAAGGAAAGTCCAAGTACATTAAGAATCAAAACACGTCTACTTCCGTCTATTTTAGAGAAACATGAAAATTGTCTAACCGCGTCACTGGCTCAATTCCAACTTAAAGAAGGCTGAGTTAAAACGTGTGCGCTCTTCGAAAAGAACAATCCTATCCCGAATGCCAACTTGTATTTTATCGTAAATCCTACTCTCCTCATATTCAAATTCGTCCAGGTATGAAAACGCCGGTACCGTGGAATTCCTGGTGGATCAGAAATCCGGAAAGTACTACTTCATTGAAGTCAACGCCCGTTTACAGGTTGAGCACACGGTAACCGAGGAAGTGACAGGGTAAGTCAGTAGGATTCGGGTTGATTCATGACAAAAGTACGTGGCAGCAACTGTTATAAAAGACACTGTTCTTCTTCAGAGTCGACCTTGTTCAATCACAAATTCGAGTCGCTGAGGGGCACTCCCTGCGTGATCTGGGGCTTATTCAGGAAGAAATCAAACCGTTCGGTTACGCAATACAATGCCGAGTGACGACAGAAGATCCTAGTAAATCGTTTCAGCCAGATTTTGGGCGTATTGAGGTAATTGTTTTTGTTTCCCGGATCGTTCGTTTTCTTATTCCACCTAAAACGAGTAGAACATTTTGGAAGGAATCCACACGGTCAGAAGATGCTGTGATCCATAAGACTTAAAGGGACCTCTGGTTGGCATTTGTAGTGCACCTGTAAAAAATTCCTTACGAGCAAAGGTCCATGGGTTGTTCAGACTGTCTAATAACCCGGCAAGTGTTAATGCTTAGGCTTGAAATCAAGCTCTTCTGAGCATCGTATCCGTGTACATCCCCTGTTTTTTGGACAGGCACCGACCACATGACAGCTAACAGAATAAGGTTGACGGAAACTAGGGGACTGCGCTTACCTGATGAGCCCCAATAAGGGCGAAACCGGACGTGGGCTGTCGAAGAGTTTTCAGCAACCTTGTGAGTAGTTTTCTTTATGAGCTAGCAGCTCCATCATCCGTCTGGCGGCAAGCCACCAAGCCACACGAAGAAAACACGAAGGCTGAGATATGACCAGGTTGCCCTAGCCTAGACAGGTGAAATGGGTCCGTTAAGGTTAGGTTCGAACCACGGACCTCCCGGTCAGTAGGTTTCTGTCTCAACTACTGGGTCATCCCGAGATCGGAGTCAGTTAAATGATATACCTGAGGTTCGATTGTTTCCGGAACGACCGGTTTTTAAGTAGGGAAAAATCCCAACCAGAAGTCAACTAGGTATTGGAGGTTAGAGCCGTATGAGAAGATGACCTACTCAAAATGAACTTCTTTCAGGGTTTGTAGTCAGTGCTTGCAACAACGGCGAAGCTTTCAGTTATGTTGTTTTTCACGGTGAAGTAATCCATCAGTGAATACCTTGGCGCTGCGATGATGCTTTCATACAATGGATGGAAGCCACTGACAAAAGGATAACTTCAAGCGACCCTGGCAGCTAACATTGTGACTGACGAAAGTAAAAAAAACAGTCTCTGCCTCTGGGCACAAAGTCAGCATGTTGCAGAGAATGGCATCATCAGACCGAAAAGAAGGCAACGTATTGATTTTTGAAGAATACTTCATATAACGGCAACTCATCGGCAGGATCTTGTGGATAAATGACGATATAGTTGAAAGGAGCGCCTCGTGTGCCCAGATAGTGTAGTTCACACTAAATTAGACAGTTATACTCATTTGTGCTGCGTTCCGCAAAACCAGGTAGCCGAAAAGTTGACTATGCCAGTCCAGTATAGCCGCTCTATGCTTACCGACAGTACCCTATAGGAGTGAACACGAACAAGTGGATCGAGAGCCTTCCAGGTAGAAATCGTTTCCCAGCTTGATTTCTGCTCTAGTCATTGTCTCTTCACCAGCAGCAGGCTAAAAATCAATAATTCGGCCACTGGATGTATTACGCGTTCCGCTTGACACATGACTATGTATCTGAGAATGGATAGTCCCGTGCCCTTGAGAAACTCCAGAGGGTGGCATGAACTTTCGTCGCCAGCTCCCGCACCATGCCGTGAACAAATCAGTGCCTTGACAAGAGTGTTAAATGACATCATCCAGGATATCGGAGGTAATCAATCAGCGCGTCATTTCTTCACATCGTCAGATACAGTGCTTTTATCGCTTCATTTGGTGCCTTTTCATGTATAGCAATAAGTCATCTACATATAGCATGTCTATGCTGGAACGTTTTTAATCTGCATCGATGATTCAGATCATGAGTACTGATACACAAGTGATGTTTACTCTGTAGACAACAATACTGTGTATGATATATTGACGTGTATCACCGAATAAGGTTTACTTAGAATCAGGAAAGAAGTATACAATAGGGAATAGCACTAACAGCTTGAAATATTGTGGAAGTTTCATTCGGTAAGCGAAGCCAATCTGTGCTTAAAAGCTGAGAAACACTGTACAGCTGTTTCATTCATTCTGGGAATCATCACTCAAGGGAGTGATGTGGTGATGTGGATGATTGAAGGATGAGTGACGCTATATCCTGTCCAAGTTCGATTTTATCCCACTGCTAATCGGCTGCTCGTCGCTGAATGGTTAAGTGTTCAAACTACTGGCCAGGAGGTCGCGGGTTCAAGATTCTCCTGAGTTTCGCGAGATGCGCACTGCTGATGATTCACAATAAGGATGAAACAGCTGTACAGTGCTTCTCGGCTTTTTAGCATAGATTGGCTTCACTTACAGGATGAAATCTCTACAAAATTCCCAACTTTCCTCACACTACCAGCAGCCTGAAATACATTATATAGGGGTCTTGTAACGAAGGCAGTGTATCTCTCGTACAGCTTACGTTGACATAATACGTACCTGATACGTACGTATCGGGCAAAATCCTAACCCAGAATGCCCCAGTATTGATGCGGCATTCTGGTTTCTCCCCGAGACTACCTTCCATGTTGTTCGTTTGGGGTTTTTATCCAAAGCCAATCACCAATACCGCTAAAAGTCTGTCCGCGTGGATCTCATCCGTGGCTGTTTACCCTCCACGTGTGTCACTGATGATTCCTACCTCGGTTGTGCGCCCCGTCAGCCTACTATCCTGCGGTCAGAACACTCGCCTGATTACACCACAGGATCAATGAGGTACGCCACTATCACTCGCCCAATAAACACAGACCACGGGGTCGATACAAGCATATAGAGTTCCCCAAGTGCGCAAGTCTATACGAATTCCGAAAACACCGGCATCGAAGTGTTTACAGATGGTTACCGTGGAAAAGTTCGAATCAATCTGTGTTAGACTAAAAACAGACAACCATTAATGGTTCAACTGGCCACATATCCAAGACAAGACGAAATAACTCCCAGGTCAAACATCAGTGGAAACAAATCACCAGTGTGTGTGTGTGTGTGTGTGTGAACCCTCAGTACATAGAGACTCCCCTGTTACCTTGTGTTTGTATGCTGGTTATTTTTGTCTTTCCTAATCACGGACAAACATTGTTCATGCTGGTCACTGGACAACAAGCCGGAAACCAGTATTTGCCTAACATGCGCAGTATTAAGGTGTGTTCGGAGAACGAAATAATTTGCTGTGAATAAGTGGTTAACGGGGACCAACATTTTCTCCCATCGACAGAAAGCAACGAGGGACGTGTATATCCGTTGTCTCTCATCCCAGTGAATCGTATCTTTCGGGCACGGAAGGCCATTAATTCACAACTGACACTTCCCAAGTGGGACTGCAGAGAAGCAACAAAACATAGAGGAAATACGCCGATGCTGGCTGAAGGTTGAATAATTTACCGGAACGTGTGGAATTGTGGAACGGAATCGGTTGGATAAATATAGCACACACAGTGCTAGATAGCTCAGCAGTTAAGGTGCAAATGTGCTGCCTGGAAGGTTCGCGGTGCAATCCCAATTCCGGGGATCTTGACTTCCCCTCGGGCTTGACCTGAACGGGTCTTTTTATGCGCCATGGTAATCTGTCAGTAACACATGGTCAGAAACATCCTGTGCAGCTTAACGAATGGAAAGTACAGAGTGGATCGATTATCGTTCAGCGTTCCGGTTGGCTAAGAATGATTGCTTAGACAGTAAACACAGTACGTCTTTGTAATGTACTACTCATAAGGTTGCTGAAAATCCGTCGACAGCCCACGACCGGTTTCGCCCATGTTGTATGCATATGTTTGGCTGTCATAAACCCGCCACGCAAAATTGGTGTAATCGTTGTTTTCTTTGGGAATAACGTGTGGCCCTTGCCTCCAGTGCTGGCATCCAAACAGCAGGCTTGAGCAACGGAACCCCAGTTTGCCGGTACTGCAAGCCTGCTCTGTTGGTTCGGTCAACATAAAGTCTGTTCCTATTGGTTGTTGATCACGTGAATGTTGGTATTTTCGCCGAGCTTGGCAATTGGCTTGCAAACGTTTCGTCGCCATACGAGTAGACATGGTATGGTGGCAGAGCGTTTGCAAGTCATTTGCCAAGCTTGGCGAACAAATCAACATCCACCTGATCAACAACCAATAAACTCACCTGAGCTACAAATATTTCGACACATTACTAAAGTCTATCCTTACCCAAACTCTTGTAGCACGTGTGGGCACTGAAGTTGTTCAAACAGAACGGTTTGATGTTCGTCTGAAGAACGAAAATTGCATTCTAGCTAGTACCTTGGGCTTACATTATGGTGATCTTTCATGAAGTTCTTGATACGAGTCAGTCATGTGAGCTGGACATTCACTCTGATTTCTGGTCGATTTATGCTTGAAGGCCTTTGATATTTACAAGAAAACTGGACGTTTTGCTCTCAGCATCGGTATTACCCATTCAGTGACCATGCGCCCCAGCGAATAGCTTATATAAGTCACTTTTGTTGCTAGCTATTACTTCACCGTAATCACTTGAATGGTCTTGGTTACCCCACACGTGCTCAGTTTAGTCCAAAGTCACTTCATATCCAAACTGCTCATATCCATATTCTGATTTAGTTTCCATGGTTTTAAAGTTAACACTGAGTTTTAAGTTCACTTTTGAATATTGATGCATGTGTATTGACGTACGGTCATTCCCTCAGGGTTGATCACCTACATGATGTTGAGAAGAGACTTAACTGATATTGCTGATCTTGAAATTCTTCAAAACGAGTGTGCGGTGGAGAGCTTGCTTCAGAGCTCCATTCTGAGCTACTTTTGACTCAGTGTTCCGAATTCGCGCTTCAGAACAGACTCACCTGTATCCAGCTGAACATCCTGCGTTGGACTAAAAGTACAGTGTCCGTGTGGGTCAATTGGCTACCACAGGTCAGCGGTACCATATTCTGAGTTTTAAGCTCAGTGTTTCCCTCAGTCACCCTAACACACGAATCAGGGTTAGTCCACGTGTCGACCTGCTCTCGAAAGACCTGGTTCACACTATCACTGTGATGTGGCTGATCGGAGTATTACATAATTTGGGGTTGAAAAAACGAGAGTGAGCCTTTGTAAACTTCAGCCTACAAACCTGTAACTTCCATTGTACTCTCCAGAAGCTTCCCCGAAGAGGATCTCCTTCGGGTTGAGAACCACCGATCCAAACTGTCCCTTGATAACAGACTTACATTGGCTGTCGTGAATCCTCTGTGGGACTTACTCGCTGGATGAACCAGACCCTTTTAGCCACACTGCACATACATTTAACTCTGCTAGCACAGTGAAGTAGAACTGCAAGGTCATACACGACAAATCACGTGAGATGAAAGGAACCGCAATCACCTGAGCGGAGTTCATTCTAGGTCACAGCTGCTGCACATGTGATTACTAGGTGGTGAGTAAACTTACAGGGTATTCATCGCCTCGATGTCGCCAGACAATAGACTGCAACAGTGGCTGTCATCTAGATCACGGCCCAGTGATTTTAGTTTTATCGACCAAACAAAGCCAAACTACTCTCAAATTTTGCTGACTCATCGCAACCAGTTCTGGTAGAAACCACAGTCCTTTGAAGGACAATTTGCGAACAAAGCTGGTTGCATGCTTGCTAAAGTATGTCAACGTAAAAGGCAAACAGATGTCCTCTCTGAAACGCTAGATACAAATGTGTCTGAGTGAAACATCTATATTGTCACCGAATCAAGCACAGTGGCCAATCAACAATCGAAACGGAGTTGCAACTTTCCGATTCACTGGACAGTGATTCATCAGCATGATGAATAGAACTGGTCTCGTCTTGCTCGATAGGGAAGACGAAAGTGGATTGTTTAACATTGCAGCTATCTTTATCATCTTCCAGGTTGTGTACCACCTGGGCTTGTTTTACGAACCAGTCCTCACAAATGTTCGTTGGTCTACATAAGAGTAGCCTCAGCATCAGTCAACGTTTCCGGTCAGGAGTACATCACTATTCCGTGTTTCGAACATCAACATGTGCACCCCGAATTGGTCGCCGATCTCACCCAATAGTAGATCGTTTGTTTATGATTGCAGTCGGTTGTGCACAGGTCTGAAAAAAGTGTCTATCTGTGGCACATTTTAGTACACGGCAAGCTGCCTGTTGCGCAGTACCGTGGAGCGCATATCTTTCAACTGGTTCTTTCTTCAATGAAGTCTACGGCCGTAACTACTTCAATGCACAGCTATCAGTGATTTCTTGAAGGGAATTTTCGTCAGCTGTAAGGGCAGTTAAGAATCTGACGTTTTAGGCTCTATTGCTTCTTTATGGGGGTCTCCCAGAAGAGGAGTGCGAGATGAACAATGTTTCTTGAGAACGTCTGTAAAGCGTCGTCCTACACACCCTAGGGTGCTAAAACCCGGTGGCCATCCCACAACTTGAAAAAAAGCCATGAAGCACACGGTCCTTATAAAAATGCGTCCAAACAAATGAAATCAAAATGCGCGCTTGGTTTTCAGGACTGTGCGGTTTTTCCCGCCTGGTAATCATATGACACTTCTGGAGTGTATGCCGTTTTTTTTCAAACTATTCGTCAACAGCTGTTTGAGCATTTATTTAGTAGAGTTATCCATCTCACAACCGGAACGCCAAATTTAACAATGTTCACTGAACAATTTCTCATCGAATACAGGGTGATTAAAAATCTCTTTGGTTCCCACATCAACATTTGCTTGTTTTAGCAAACACCATCATTTGGGCCTATTTTTCCCTCCGTAAGATCCAACAGCGTTTTTGTCTTACTAAACATTCCTTTGCTCCGCAACACAATACACACAAGCTTGCCGGAAACTCATCATCTTGAACAATGTTACTTTTTGCTCGTGTTTCTTGTTAACACTAACTCAATTTGAGAATAAACGGGTTTCGCCAGACGTTCATTTTGACAGGCTTCAACACTTTTTTAAACAAATTCCCAAAAGGAGGTTTGGTAAAACAACAGCATAACTGTGGAGAAAGATACTACTCATAAGATTGTTGGAAAATCTTGCAAACCTCGCACCACCAGTTTTGTCCTGTTTCTGAATCACCATGTTGGCACAGTTCCCGAGTTTCTCTTCAGTCAACGTCAGTGCAAAGGAATTTATTTCGCTAATATCATAGCTCGATGGAAATACCAGTGAAAGGAAGAAGCCCCTTCGCTGCAGAGTTATTTATTAGAGAACGCTCAAATCAAATGTTACAAAGCGACTCCACAACTTCCGCAACAGATCTCCCTTTTCAAGAGACGCAAAGCGAAATTCCACGAACAACACAACACACTCGCGTGCCTCCACATCGGTAGTATCACCGTTACACCAGTATACACAACCTTGTTCCATATCCGGGAAACGACCCAATCGGAGTGCCGATATGGATGTGAGCTCCACATCCAGCTTAGGATATACTTTGTGCCATATGTTGAGAGATAATGGTCCCGGTGACGCAGATTCCTTGAGTCGCGAAATGCGGCAAATACGGTTGAGTACTATTCAGGGTTGAGAAGTCCCAGATCAGAAATCTAAAGGGGAAGTCGTTTAAGTTGGTGTGAAGTGTGACATTTCCATGTCCTATCACAAACGACCCCCCCCCTCAATATGCAGCGCGCCACAGCCTCGCATCAAAGCCAGAGAGCATGAGTCAGCATTGGATCAAGTTTGGACAGTATCCCTCCAATAAAGTGGCTTGAGTTCGATGTACCTTCGCCCTCACTCGTTCGCAATAAAGCTGTTGTATCCCTTTCGGTGAGTCTTTTCCCGGCACTAGACGCTGCAGCGGGAACAGCAGTCAGATACAACAGCCCTCCTAAGTTGGAGGGAGCTCCGGTGACAAGTTTCGTCTATACAGTATCCATGGATTTCATCACTTCTGAATAGTTCACACGATTCAATTTTTACACATTCAAAAACGAGCAATCTTGAAGTTGCGCTCTGTTCATAGTAATACCGACAGTAACAGTCCCCAGTGTCTTGGGTTCGAAGTACACTGATTTGGTGTAAAATTTTGCCTACAATGTAGTCCAGGTCATTTTGTGCCGTTGGGTGAGTCAATTTCACAATTTATAGAATGCTTTATTCCTCCGGAACCGATAGTTATTGGTGATGTGGTAGCAGTGATACCGTATAGGCGCAGTGGGCCCTTTTTTGTCGATGTGACGAGACATCAAAATTACTTTTTTCCAGCGAAATACACCCATTTGCAAACTAATTTGGTTTTGCGGGGACTCACCTGGAACCCAGCTGAATGTGTCGTTCGTGCAATTTGATTTGAAGTAGGCCATAAGGTTGACGAAAACTCATGGATTGCATCTACCTGATGAGCCACAAAAAGGGCGAAATCGGTCGTGGGCTGCCGACAAATGTTCAGCAACCTTATGAGTAGTGCATTACGGAATATACTTGTATTGCGATGTCTAGAATATCGTAGTGACTGAGGCATGAGGCGGCCTGGTGCAGCACATTCAGTTGCCCGGAAACATCACAAACGAGAGATTCAGCTTGGTTCCAGTGAGTCTCTCGTAAAGCCAAATTGGTTTGCAAGTGAGTTTATTCCGCTAATTTCGTGCAATTTGGTTTCAAGTAGAACATAAGGCTGGCGGTGGAAACTCGGGGACTGCGCCTACCTGATGAGCCCCAAGAAGGGCGAAACCGGTCGTGAGCGGTCAAAGAATTTTCAGCAACCTTATGAGTAGTGTATTACGGAATATTTTTTTCTGGTTCAGTAGTGATGCTTATAGGGGGTTTATCAAAATCACTGACTCAAAAATTAGGCTCCGACTGCATTACAGATGGTTCGTGTCACTTTTATTCTCGGTGGAAAGGCCCGGAATAATGAATGGACTGTTCATTGGCGTTGTTCTTTCAATTACTAGCCTAACGATAAGCTAGAGATTAGCCTATACAGTCGATAAAACAAGTTTCTCTTCTTCAAGCAAGATCAGTTCCCTATTAAGACCATTGCCCCAATGAACGGTCTTGTCCAGGAAAACTCTCTCATGTTCCTCTTCAGATACCGACTTTCATCTCTCGGTTTTAGGATAAAAACAGCGAAACGTAGAAGGTCATTCGATAAGACCTTAAAATAAATTGGCCTTGACGGAACAAAAGAGGATAGTTACAATATAGAGGTTTTCTGGTCTTCCAACGCCTGAACAAATGTTGCCTGCACCTGTAAGGAAGCAAAAAGTTTCGGGGCTAAGAATACACACTGCTGTGAATTTTTACCGATAAAAACGGGCTATTCGTCTAACCTGGGTTTTTAGTTAGTATCACTTCATACTTAAATAACAGCCAGTTACTTGACTCACGTGAAGTGCAGCTTAATCAGTTGTATCAGTTTTCCAGGAAGTGCAAAGTCATACACAGAAAACGTGAGTTGTTTCCAACTGCGCATGATCACTTGTCAATTTCACCGTAAGCCGTATGGCGAGGCTTAGGATAACTGAGTAACTCTATTGTGACTGTAGTAAACTCACGCCACTAGATCGATACCGGCAGCCCATTGGGTAATAAGTAGAACAACTCGTTTGGATTGGTCACGTGACCGGTGTCGACAAAGTGTGACGCGGTCCGGCTTTTGGCCACATTTCCTCTTTGGACTACTCAGCCAGAATATCACAAATGAGAGGTTCAGCTGGGTTCCAGGGTAGTCTCTCGAAAAAAAACAAAATGGTTCGCAAATGAGTGTGTCTCAGCCAGTTCTTCACCATTCACTTTCCATTTTTTCACTTAAAAAGGTCTTCCAAAGTGGGGAGGGTATGGGAATCCGGATTGACTCAGCCTCTGCCTTTGCCGGAGCCATCATCTCTCCGTACTATGATTCTCTGTTGGCAAAAGTCATAGCTCACGCAAAGGAATTTCCTGACGCCACCAAGAAGATGCGCCGTGCTTTGGAAGAGATACGCGTTCATGGACTGAAGGTAGGTCAATACAGTCCCTTGGGTGTTCACAGTAGTTCTGTTAGTTTCACGTTTAACGCCAACGAGTTTTACTTTCATGGATATCTTGTAACTTGCATACTGAAAAACTGACACTACTTACCCGTGGAAATGCCGAGTAGTCACTGTTCATGAATCTCTGAGGTCACAGCATAGTTAGTGAGGTGGCGGACAACAGGTTGACTACTAATTTCGGCCACCCCGTTCATGAAGATGAGGTAACCATCCATGCTACCTCGTTTGTGACAAGATTCTCGCGGCCGTGAGGACAATTACTCATCGAATTAATGTTGATTTCGATTAAGAAGAGTTGCTCAGTGGAACAGACGCAGACCGAAGGTGCTCCACTCCTGAGGCCATTGGACACCATCCCATTCCACACTGTGGATCATTGTTCCACCGATTTCCATTGATTTTTTGTATGAAATGTCAACAGTGTTATATAGAAGGTCATACGGGCGAGTTACGCAACTTCCCCGTCCACCTTTTTTCTTTCCTTTACAATGAGGCTTTCAAATAAATCATGGTTGTACAGCAATGAAGCATCGGTGTTGAACACTGATGGCATGCTGTCGATGATAATGATGATGATAATGATGGTGAATGGTGACGCTGAAAAACACCGCTCACATGTCCTCTATTGCAAATACCGGTGAGAATTTCAGACGTGGAAGCACTGGAACCTCAAAGTTCCATGTGAATATATTCCAGAGGACTATTCTAACCAGCGCTCGGTTGGCACTTCTAAAGTCATTAGCAAGTTTACTTATTTACCCTCGAGGTCTTACCAAGTTCACTTGACCTGAAATGACGAAAAAGATGAAGATGAAATGATGATGAGTAAGACGAAATGGACTAAGATCGCGTTGGAGAGCAAAGTGGCCAACAAGGCAAAACAGATTTGCTTGCGTCAGTTCTGTTCGGGTATACAATGATATCAAACAGTAAAACGGATGTAATCGAACAGGCTAGTACCGGATTGTGCTTGAATAGGAAAAAAGATGTACTCTACGATATACCATGTGTGTCTACTTTAGAAAAACTCAAGCGCAACGAGGTTCCCAAGTCGCCAGTTGAATGAAATGACGATGCAAATTAGCGCGCATATCTAAAAGACAAAATTTTGGACAATTGCTCCGGGGTCACAACTATTTTCCTGTATATTTTAACATCGCCAACATTAGCCAGTGGTGGTTGTTTGGAAAGACGATCAACACTGCCCTACCCAAAACTTGCTTGCATTACGAGAGACAGTATGTCTCCAGAGGTATTTGTTTCAAGAACAGCTCAGCTTACCAGTGAAAGGAAGAAGGCCTTCGCTGCGAGGCATTTTATTAGGAAATGCCAACCGACCACTTAAAGACTATTGGACAGGAAAGCAAAACTCTCATATCCGTCTTATTTACAAAAACCGAACATCTATCTTCTCCTTGAACGCCTCTTCCTGAACTTTCCTAGATATTCATTGAGTGTTGCTGAAGTTCAAGCAAATGCTACAAAGCAACTCCACAACTCCCTTTTCAAGCGAATTTACAAAAAGAAAACATACTACTCACATGTCTTCTCCATCAGTAGTATCACCAGCGCGTTAGTACCGAGTCGATATATAAGAGAATCTTGTTGGATTCACTGAGAGCCACACAACTGGCATACATCTGAGGGTGTTGACATTCCACGAATAACGCGTGAATTTGTACACACCAGTTTTCTACGCTTGTAAGGGCCATTCCGCTCCGAAGAGCGCTAGGTACTGATTATCTCCAGTCGCGTCTGTGGCATTACAAAACTTTATTTTAACGGCAATCGTGGTAATTTCGGAGCTGGAATGACAAGGGTGCCAAACTTGTGCTCACGACACCTCTCGTCGAGGTCATCAGTCAGCCTCCTCACCGGCTATCAAAACTTCACGCCAGTCAAGTGACTGCCCATTTACTCTAAGCCACTGACCACAGTTTGGTTCATCCTATAGCCCCACAGAACGATAAAATGGTCTTTTTACAATCCAGGTGTCACTGATCCTCCAGAAAGTAGGGGCAAACAACTAACCATACAGCTGGTACTCTTTGGTGCCGGCGATGTCATCGTTTTCAACAAGTGCATCATCATCAACATCATCATCATTGTCATCACTGACAGTAACACCTGATAAGGACATTGGTGCTTCAATGCCACATAGCCATGTGGATTTATTTGAAAGAAGCCGCATCAGGGAAAGCAGGCATGGATGGCGACTAAGATGTAGCCTAAAACCTAGGCGACACTCAATCAGACAATATAGATGTAAACTAACAGCATGAGTGCCATTTATATCGGTCAACCGCCATATCGTTCAAAGTCATCAGCTAAACTCATGGTAAGTCGCGTGAACTCCCTCCTGGAAGACTGACAGCACGAATGACACCCATTATATCAAACTCCGTTAACCTTTAGGATTCAGCTACACCGAAGTGAACACGGAAACCAATGCTGTTCTCGAAAATCGGTGATTCGGCATGCTTCATGACCTAACGACCTTGACTTGTAACACTGGATGCGTTATTCAAGTGAAATGCCTCCAGATCCGCCAACTCCGTTTCCAAATTCGTTGGTTCCAACCGACACCATCCACAAACATGTGAAGACCTCTCAGATCCCCATCACAACTCACCAAGGCTCTCAGCCATATGACAATGCAGTCCACACTGTAGTCTGACAAACACGCCCTTTGCGACCAAGTGATCTGCCTTTTTGGTGCCATACATCTCGGACCTTTGGGATTCATGAACTGACTCCGTCGGTCAGAACTAATACAACTTTCCAAATACTTATAGTATACCACAATTTTCAGTGCCACTCTTTGAATTTTCGGAGTTTTGTTCAAGTTCTGCCGCCTGGCTTTGTATTTTGTGCGCACAAAGCACATGCCAACGAACTGGATTACCTTGGTAAGCTTTTCTAGTAGTGCTTGTGCGTTCTGTACTTGAGAACCATGTCCGTATATTTCATTCCATCCTTTCTCGATAAAAACTATTAATCCCACAACTTTTACTTTCAGACAAACATACCTTTCCTACTCAACGTATTCAACAACCAGAAATTCCTCTCGGGAGCAGTGGACACCGTTTTTATTGACGAGAACCCTGAATTGTTCAAACTGCCTGTAAGAAAGCAGCGAGCACAAAAGTTGTTGCGTTATATTGGTGAGTTAGTCCGGCATGGGAAGACATCGCCCCGGCCCGACCAATAAAACTTCATTCGTTCAGGGCGCATTTGTTTGTTTCTTTGTAAAACTGGCAACGATTTCTTGAAGGAGGCTGGTCACAATGTTACTGCGAGCTCCTAGGCAGCCGACGACCATTCTTGGGGCTCATCAATTCCTCATTATTCGTAGACCTTATGTTCTAATTGAATTCACATTGTTCACAAAACAACTAAACCAATGATCACATTTTCAACCCAGGTGAGTGCGATGCTTGAAGAGGCTCCGCGTGTGAAATTCCGAGCTGTTATCTTCTGACGTTTGTTTACACCTTACTAAGCAGTGGGGAGCGCTTTTCGCTCAATTCGTCCAAGGTGGTGGAACGTTAAGGAATTTGTTCGATAAATGTTCCTAGGTTCTCGTCACACAGAAGGGAAGTTACTAAATTTCCTTCGTATTCAATGGATGCTTTCATCCGAAAACCGAATTTAGCGATCCATGACTACGGAGTAATTCTGCGACCAGGTTGACGGATTCACGTCCATCGTACGGCAAGCTCAAAACTCGCAGGATTTTCGAGAACAAAACAAAAAGAAAAACGAAGGGGAAGGGGGAAAAGGGACCGGCGTAACGTTGATTTCAGAATTTGCCGGCCTGTCCGAATTGCGTGGACAACTTGACTACTCGTGAATGGTCGGTAGTTTATCCCAATTGGTCTTCAGCAACCTTATGAGTAGTATGTTACATCATTAACAACTGCATTCACCAATCCATCAGCAGTACCAGTATTCTGTTACTAATCTTTGTGCTAACGTGTTATTACATCGCTGTTCACCTACCAAGCGACAGGATACCTTGCGCTAAGACATCAACTCGGGTGGAAGGTCAGCAACGCTTCATTAGGTTCAATAATCTGACATGAACGGAGTTCATCCTGAACTACCCTTTTTCACGTCCCCACTAAAAACTTGAGGCGATTATCAAAGGAAGCTGTGCTAACGTTGAACGCCTTCCGGAACAAGAATTATATTTCGTGCACAGACATATTCGCGAACAGACTACGTGCATACATTGTCTGTCTTCCTAGTACCCACTAATAGATCCGTATATTCAGCAATGTGTCACGCACTGCCAAACTGCACACCATGCCAAGCCTGGACAGGTCGTTTGATGCACTACGATTACTCGACACAGGTAGCGTCACTTTTACTGGCGACAGCAGTTTCCGAAATACGAACGCTAGGATGTACAACGAATTCTGCCATCGTGAAGGCATTGCTTTGACGTTCGGATATACATGGTTCTCTTCGGAGATCTTGTTTGGCGAAAAGTTAACCGATTGCCGGGAGGGACGATTGATTTCAACCCTACAATCACGTGATTCACACGATTGCCTTACCGCACCCTGCGTACCTTCTGATTGGACACTGTTATCGAACGGTCATTGACCTGAAGATGGGACGTAATCGCGCTGACCGATGTTGAGAACTCGTAGCAGGACGACCGACTGCGGTCAGTTTTACTCGCATTTGGACGATAAACGTTTGTGGCTGGCTTTTTTTCCTGAATTCTAGACCGAAAATTCGACTCCTTTTCTCGATTACTTGATACAGGGCTATACGTGACTAAGTTTAGTTGCTCTACATGATTTTCTCCAGGGGGCCTTGCGCTGGAGTAATTCGTGAGCTCAGCTGTTGAATGCATGGGGAAGGCTTCGTCTGGGTGTTGAGGTATCACGGCCTTATAAGTAATAACCGGTTGCAAGTATCTTTTACAATTGATTTAGTGATACAGGAATACCCGATCCGCACACTAGAGATAAGGTTGTCATAACTGTAACCGGAGTCTGATGCGACAGCTTCGATCAGAAAGAATTTTGGCGATTGTGATGATCCGTTTATCCAGGTTAGCCGACTGAATTTACAAGAAATTCATCTTGGTGGCTCATTCGGAGTTTTGACGGCATCTTCTCCAACAACGGCTTGCACGTTATTTATTTCTAGCTGACACAAACCTCCGCCAAGAGCACTCATACCTAGTTACCTGGATGCTAAAAGCCTTGAAGTCAGCTGATGGGTGTGGCAATCCAACGATGTGTGTTGAAAGGCCTAGAAGCACGGTGCAGCTGTTTGATCCTTATTGGAAATCATCAGCAGTGCGTATTTGACGACAATCATGTAGGGAGGTCCAAGCTGGCAACCTAGTAGTTTGAACGGCCTGGGTCACGTCATATTGGGTGGTTTCCTCGGAGTACCAGGCGAACCAATACCAACCCGGTTTCTGAACTCTACTCTCCACCGTTAGCTACAAGCAATCCTAAGCTGCTGTGTTTACAACCAGTTAAATTCACGACAAGACATAAGGGGCAACAAGGACGTAACAGGTTTCACCAAGAGGAAGTACTGCCTACATCGATGAGCACAGGAAAATGTGCCAAAATCATTGTGATCGATGGCTTGCTATTCTTCCCCCCACAAAATATATTTGATCACAAAAATGACCTCATAACTGTCAAAGCTAATCAAAAACTCGTCGTGTTTTTCCCCCCACTAAATGTATATGATCACAAAAATGAACTCATAACTGTCAAAGCTAATCAATAACTCGTAGTACTTTTATGGGACACTTCAAACCTGATTCTATACAGACAAAATTGACTATGGGATTTGATATATAGAGGTTTCTGTGAACTTTGTGTTCGCTAGAAGTAACACACTACTTATAAGGTTGCTGAAAGTTATTCAACATCCCACGACCGGTTTCGCCATTCTTGAGGCTCTTCAACCTTACGTTCAACTTGAAATCTAGTTGGCTGTGAATTGCCAGCGTGTTGCTGTCCAAATGATGCAGTCTAGTTGTGATTATGCCAAATTTTTCGGCGCGTCTTCGCGCCAGCAGACAAAAATGGAAGATTTTGTATATCGCAGAACGTTTACTGCGCTGCATGGCAGCACAAAGATACAACAACTGGATAATTCGCTGATTCTTAGTGCTTTTCTTTGTTTTTGGTGGTGGGCCAAGTTGTGTCAGGGGCACCAAAGCTCAAGAACATGGTTGCTTTCATTAGCATAAACCTGATGCTCGATTCGCTGTTTGGTCGTCCTTGATTTAATTTCACCGACAAATCCCTGTTCCACCAGCATACGAGATCCTAACCAGGTGATCCACAGCAGGGTGTTTTCTTCACACCGTAAATTTATGCCATTTATGTCTTCTTTTCTTTTCAGCCAACGTCTTGGTTAATGGCCCTTCAACTGTTCTCGCAACTGACCTCAAACCATCAAATATCGAGCCCCATGTACCTTCTGTTCCCAGTGGTAGGTGTTTGCTTATCAACTTTCTCGGTTTGACGCAGTTTTGCCCACGAAATAAGCTGATTCGTGCACGAAACTTCGTCTATCTTTCATGTCCACAAGAGTCTGTTCATCGTACTTTTCCAGTTAATTTAGTTACATCATTGGATTATGAGAACGGCATAAAGGTATACACTCTGTAAACCTACCATCCAATTTCGGGTAGCATTTGATATAGTGACCCAGAGGCAGCTCAGAGCTTAGTCTGCGAACTTACAAACCGGAAAGCTCGCGATTTGAACGCCACATTGGCATCTCGACTTCTGCTGTTTAGGCTTGGACAACTAAGAAGTATCTCAGCCCCCGTACCTCTTGTAGGCGGCTTGTTAATTATGTACCGATAAGGTTCTGCAGCTGAATTGCCATTTGTCATAATGTTATAAACTGCTTTATGTATAGAGGAGAATTTCGGTAGCTCAGGTAGCGTAGATGGTGGTTGGCTTGTTCGCTGAGCTGGGCAACTTGGTTGCAAACGTTTCATCACCAATTGAGGTGACACTAACCACTAACCCACCGCTACACACAACTACGCACTGATGATGTCACCTCGATTGGTGATGAAACGTTTGCAACCAAATTGCCCAGCTCAGCGAACAAGCCAATGACCAACTACTTTAAGTAAAACACTTTGTTTTATTTATTGTTTTCATCTTGTTATCCACAGGCGCGGCCAAGCTAACTCCACTTTCTCTGCGTCGGTACAGTATCCGTCATCAGAGAGCGTCTCTGGCATCAAGTAGATTCATACTCAAGGAGACGTGTTTCACTCCACTTCACTTTCCGTGGTCCTTTTATGCTGTCTGGCATACTCATCTGTACTGTGAACAAGGTCATGTAGCTGTTGGTGATTCTCTGTGTCCATCTCGATAACTGACCATCTGAGTGTCGGGTGGACGCGCACAGGTGCTCAAATGTAGGGACCAAACACAGTTCCCTTGGTAGGGTGGACCACGCAGCTACCGCACTCATGGAGCATTTAAAGTTACAAACTAAACAACGTGTCCGTTCCTTGAGCATTACCACGTTTGCGTGTCCGCTGCTATTGGTTTGATTGATCATCCAAGTGGTTATACTGAATCAATAGAAGTCACGTGCATTTTTTATCACTGATGTGGTCTCGTCCACCAATCAAATCATAGCTTCAAAACATCTCAAATCTAGGAGCGATTTGGAATCTCTAGAATCAGTGTAAAGAGCGTAATTCATGTAGAAACTTTTGGGCTTTCCATTGAACAATGTTCACGGTGTTCGAGTTCCTAGCCGTAGATCAGGACTTCATCTCAGTGTATGTAAAACAATCTTAAAGTTCGTAACGCAAGTACTCGAAAACTGACTTTTGCGCGAACTCTTCCGTTAATTAATACACACTGTGGGATTAAAAAACCAGAGGTGAGCGGTTCATACATTTAAAAGAATGCTAAACTGAAGTTCGCGAATAAAATTGCGTAAACTGTTGATATCGTCAGCGGTCACGTGGGCAGGCCGGGGACGATTCAGTGTGCGTACGAGCGTCTTCTGAGTAGATAAGCGGAGGTCGTGTCAGTGAATCGCAATTGTATCAGGTACGGACAAACGTTGCTAGGAAGGCAGACGCTTGGTGCAATCGTACTGTCAAAATTAATCACGTGACTCGTATCAGCCAAGTGATCGACTACTGCGCTAGTAACCCTCTTCCTCGGTGTACCTATCAGCTAAAACGGATCATTCTCCTTTACTGTCTTACACAACTGCCGCGACGTGTGCCTTACGTCCTCCACTATGCAATGGCAGGTAAAGGAGAGGACCAACCTGATTTGAGTGTGAACCAGCAGCTTATCTTTGAGGACTGAGGCATCACCTGAGTAGTAAGTGAAGCGAGTGGAGTGGTCTGACGCAGTGTATGATGTAGACTCCTAGTCAAATAGTTTGCGACAAGACCCCTTTTGAAAGGAAGACCGATAAAAGCGTATTTCTCTTTGACTGTGACCAGATTTATTTCCCAAGTTCTAGTAGCCAACAGATTCAATGCAGTCCAGACTGAGAACAAGTTGTTAAGCCTCTTGAAGGACGTTCAGATTATAAGGAATAACTATAAGTGCTTCGACACCTGCAGAATCGGTAACCTGAAATTGTCATCACCAAATCAACCGAAACTGCCATCAAACAGTCCGCACTTTCTTTTTTTTCAGGAAAACCTACCCGCGGTTGGCGTGACGTTATTTTGCAATCTGGCCCTGATGGTTTCGCCAAAGCTGTCAGGCGGCATCCACACCTTCTACTGATGGACACGACGATGCGCGACGCACATCAGTCACTACTTGCAACGCGAATCCGAACATTAGACATTGCTCGAATTTCTCCATTTGTTGCTCATGCTTTTCCGCAGTTCTTTTCTCTGGAAAACTGGGGTGGTACGTCAACATTGATATCGATTTTTTTAATTACAATATGAACTTCAAAGGCAAGGCTGGCAAGGCTCAAGTACTCTACAGTTCCTCGTAGTCTAATTAAGTCCCGATTTTTATAAAACATCCCTTCTGAAGCTAGACAGTGTCTGGCTATTTGGCACCTTCGATGGACAACGAAAGGTATTCTCAAGTGGATTGATTGTCTTACGAGCCGTATCTCAGATCCTGTGGGCTGAGAAAATCAAATTCCAGTCACGTGTTCTTGTTTCAAACAGTTACTCTGAGCACACCATGGAGTATTTTGCTTCTCTTAGAGGTTTGTGTCCAGCATTCACGGCTCTAACACATCATGAACTGAGAAACACTGGTGAAACAATGCGAGCCTTGTGTAAATGCATATACCAGTGGGACAAGGGAGAACACGGTGGACAAAAACCACCGGACTCCAAGTGTTCGGCTGTTTGTTTTCCAATAAGCTGGACAATTTGATTGCAAACGCTTTGTCAGCAATTGAGGTAACACCAGCAGTGCGTTGTTAGGGAGCGTGATGGAGAGTAGTGACGGGTGGGTGATTGAGCGTTGAGTGTTAATATACGCGCTGCTAGCCGGGGCTTACCTTTGATCCCGATTATTTGTTAAGTCGGACAGTTCCACTGGTTGCTCCGTTACGCGGTGTCTTGATTTGCCGATGACCACATGACCTTTGAGCCTGGACTTCCCTGCTCTCGTACTTTTGTCGGTACTGGAGTAACCTGTGCCTTTACCCCTCAGTATTCCAGTTTGTAACATGGTTTGTTCCGATGAGTATGAGTAGTAGTTTGGTAGTCTTATCTCGAAAATCAAAAGATCGTTGTTCTCTCGATGTTACGGTTTTTCCCCAGGGGAATGGCGTGAATCCTCTTAACCTAGTATGGATGCGGAGCAAAAACGTGAGAACAGGTAAGTGAAAGAAGGATTTGAAAGGACCATGCCATTGGAATCAAGTGAGACATGAGGACAAATTAGGGGCTGATGAGGGTAGCTAAATTAGTTGTATGTGGTTTTTGCAACAGGAATGGTGTGAGTCGCTGAAAGTCACCTACGATGTGCAAAAGGTAGCGATTTATTTTAGTCCATCTCACCTGACCCACCAGCACCTCGTTGTTCATCACCATCATCATCGACATCATCATCATCATCATCATCATCATCATCATCATCATCATCATCATCATCATCATCATCATCATCATCATCATCATCGACGGCATGACATCAACACCGATGCTCCACTGCCTTACAACCATGATTAATTTGAAAGCCTTATTGTAAAGAAAAGAGTAAAGATGGACGGAGGAGGGACTTAGTGTCAGCTTACCACAATCATTCCGAGGTGCCCATTCCACCAGACATTCACTCAGGCGATCTTGATAGAAACTGACAACAAGAACGCCACTAACATCGGTTGACAGTTGTAGTGTCCCCAACCAGACACGGTGAGGATCACGCGGTTTCCATCCTAGAAGGCGAGTAGCACCGTCAGCACCCAAATTATCCCAAATGGTCAGATCTGTCTGAAGCTATCACTCGAATACACAAATCACCGCCCCTGGATTGTGGGCGGTCCACTGACAGGTCCGTTTTTCTATGAGTACTCAGCTTCCGTAATCGATTAAACAGACGTCTTATGAGTGCTCGCAACATTGTAGAAGTCTTAAAAAACTCAGGTGTTTGGAAATAAAATGCCGCTGCATTAACTTGTAATTTTTCATTTCTTGCAAAAGATATAATCTTGTGGTTTCCTGGCTTCCAGTAGCGAGCATCGGGGCAGACACTCACGTACAGGGGCGCAAGTATTCTCAAGGGAACAGTCTACTTTCTGATGGGTTTGAAAACTTAATTTATGGTGAAGTGAATGGACATTGGAAACAATGTTATTTTTACGGTCTGAAGTACTAATGAGTTGTGAATGAAATCGACTGTCTGTTTTCATCAGTTATTTGTGGAACCAGCTTTCTGAAAGTTAAGTTTCCTGGCTTGAGTGTTAGAATCGGAATCTTGAAACATGGATAAAATACTCATTAAAATCTAACATCTTTCCTTGTACAAATAAAAATGGAGCTGGAATTGGCAGGCAATAACCATAGTGGTCACCCAGAAACCGATAGTGCTTAAGGATGAACATAACTCACCTTCTTGATAGTGAGAAATCTCGGTGATACTACAGGCGGCGTTTCTGACTACACCTCGTCAGTTTACTTGGTATCAAAACGGCAGATCGATGCGCTTCAAAGAACGCGTATATCACACTAAACTGTGGACTGTGGAGTGGATAGTCATAAGGCTGCGAGACTTGGCCACTTTAAGTGCAGGATCTGAGACATCTTCAGGTCTTTGGACAAAGGTGTCTCCGAACTATAGCTGGAGTCGGTTGGGATCAACTAACTGGCAACGGGTTAATTAGGAGACCAAATTTGGTGCGGCTGACAGTACCTTCCTTAAAGCATGCACCCAGCTGAAGTGACTGGGTCGCGTTGCGAATCCTGAGACGAGCTCTGTTCTCCGTGCCTTACTCGGAGTGGCGGAAACCCAGAGGTAGACCGAATACGACGGGGTAGAAGCGAATGAAGGATGTTACAAGAAGCTTGGGTGCTGTTGGCACTCCGGGACGTGGTCTCGTACTTGGAGAAACTGGATGATATGACGGCAAACCGACGTCGGTGGCGTCCTCATTCTGGTCTTGTCTCCCGTATTATCAGATTAGAAGTTGTAGACACCTCGGGTGCTCTTTTTTGGCTAACTCTATGTCCCCCCACCTGTCACAATCATTTTCTCTCTTCTCTGTGAGGCTTTATTGAAATCAGTTGATGTTCGTACGGCAGTGGGGCACCAGTGTTCTCGCCTGGTGTTTCTGACACCAACAGTGATGATGACGATAACGACGTATTGGCGCATCACCCATCAGGATGGCCATTCAACGTGGATTTTATGCAACGGTCAGTCTTCCCTATGGAAAATGCAGATATGAAGGTTCAAGTCCTTTAGCTACACCGCATCTGTGACGCAAATAATCAAGTGCAGTTTGTGCGGCTTGTTGACACGCGATGAAAAATCAGTCAGTCAACATGAAGTGGCACAATATTCTTTTGGTTTTTACTTCACCTGTTTTGATTCCATAAACGTGATCAACAAGGACGATTAGCACAATTCGTTCGTTAGGCCGTTGCATCACTAGAGCACCAGCAGAGGTTTTGAAGGTTGGATTATTCATAACGGCAACTTTACATCTCTTCTCCAATGCGCTGTTTCGTTTGGACGGTATGGCAGGTAGACACCGAAAAATGATGTTGCCGCTGAATGAGGTGACGAGTTTTTGTGTAGGCTCCATTTCGATTGGCTTCCATTTGGCAAACTCCCTAATGGTTTTCCCTACTGAACGCATCGCAAGTAGGCTCATGTTTCCTAGTTTTGTCCCTTGGGAATCGGACCCCGTAATTTTGCTTCACGAAGCTCCGTGCGCTTGATCTTTTCAGCTCACGACCGTAAAAACTCTCTACCTATAAAATTGACGTTGACTACTTAGTAATCCCGGTCCAGTGCAGCCAGATTTTGGAGGAATTTGGTCTTATATTCTGATAAATCAGTGCCGTACTTGTACACTTTTTGGGTTCCCTGACATTGTGTGCATCGTCTTGTCTTTTGAACGTTACGCGTTCTTCTCACAATATCAAGGTTATATTGTTACAATATGATCTATTGAATTCACTGTTGAGCCGAATATATATGAACCGTGCACCTGGACTGTATTCACCGTTGTTTAATGCAGGTGCAACCTTTGATGTTTCAATGCGTTTCCTTCACGAGTGCCCATGGGAACGTCTGGAACAACTTCGTGAGGCGATTCCGAATATCCCCTTCCAAATGCTTCTCCGTGGTGCCAGTGCTGTGGGCTATAAAAACTATCCGGATAATGTGGTACATGAGTGAGTTTTCTCTTAGTTGCCGCCTTGTAAGCTCACTTATTAGCAGCCCCCCCCCCCCGGATGAGACTCTGGTTTGCTGCTTCCAGACAGCAGCTCCTATTTCAGTATACAAGATGCATACTGGCCGTCTACTGAGCCAAACCTATGTTGCCCGGGGAGGAACCAGAAAGTTAGCTCTTCTACGCCTCAAACTGTATTTGGTGTCACCTCACAAAAAAGTCGATTCGACAGGCTACGTCAGAAAGCCATGTTCAAAGAAGTATCTCCTCCAGGACGTGGGTGTGTATTCTGAAGCAGGACCCGTGCCAGTTGGCAACACAGCACTGGCTCTTAACACCCGATTCATTTTCGTTTTCACTTACTTCGAAGATCTGTGCTTGAGCATCTACCAGTGAAAGGAAAAAGACATTCGCTGCGGAGCTATTTATTAGAAACTGCCAACTGACCAATTACAGACTATTGGACAGGGAAGCAAAACTCTCATTTGCATCTTATTTACAAAAACTGGACATCCATCTCCATCTGAAGGCGTCTTCTAGGACTTTTCTGGATATTCATTGACACAAATCATTCATTGCTCAAATCCAAGCAAATGCTACTCCACAAATTGCGAAACAGATCTCCCTTTTCAAGAGACGCAAAGCGAATTTACAAGAAGAAAACATACTACTCGCATCGCAAGCCTTCAGTAGTATCATCGTTTTGAAGCAGGATCTGTGCCAGTTGGCAACACAGTACTGAATCTTAACATCTGATTCATTTTCGTTTTCAATTATTTCGTAGATCTGTGATTGAGCATCTACCAGGTGCCTGAGGTAGCTCATTTGTTAAGGTACGATTTTGATGACCGCAAGGCTCGTGGTTTGAATCCAAACCCGTCACCTTGACTGCTTCTCAGTAGGTTTGGGTGACCTGGCAGTATATAAGCCATCGTACTTCCTTCGGTGAGCATGGCAGGTAGACGCCGCAAGGTTGTTACAGCTGAATGGTTCTCAAGTAAGAGCGTGACTTCTTATCGTTGTCTAATCTAAGTGAACGGACAACTTTCTGTTTGACTATCAATCTAGAATTGGGTACCAAAGAGCAAATTCGAAGAAAAACTGTACGATATAGAAACGCTGGTGTGTCTTTAACTGACGCTGAAGAGGGATCCATCCAGAACGCCAACGGTAGATTCAAGAATGGGTGGTTGATAAACCTCGTCAATTCTACCGTGCGCGGATTTCAGTTCATAGGCAGAGTACTGAAGAAAGCTTCATAGACCAGTCGCAGCCGACAGACGCCGTAAAACTCCCAGACTTTAGACCTAGACGAGTTACTCACTGAGGGCCTAAGAAGAGGACAACTACACCCGGGCCAGTTAGTAAATCTCACGTAAGTTTCTACATTCTCTGAAATCCACTTTGCTGATGAATCAAGGTAGCTTTGCCACTACTAATTACACAGTTTATCCTACCCGTCTTGCAGCACGAAACATTGACGTACGTAACTTGTGCGGGGATATGGGAGTTCACATGTAGCATAACGACATGCCGCTTGGGAATTCTTGGCTTTGGTAGTCACGTGAAAGGTGGAAACGAGCCAGAAGTCAAACAATAACTTGGCAGCGAAGAATAAAAGCCACTACCAGCTGCGCTGGTCAGTCTTCCTGGTGAGGACCCCGGGACCGGGCAAAATAATGGCCAGAGACATTGTCAAACATGGCCTAGTTGCGCCCTCAATGGCGCTCGTGCATAGCCCCACTCCCAACCCCCTCGCAGTCCTGTATTTACGCACCAATTTACCAGCTGCCGTCTACAATGATGACGATGATGACGATGATGATAATGATGATGATAATTCGGATGATGATGATGATGATGATGATGATGATGACGATGATGATGATGATGATGATGATGATGATGATGAGCCCTACGCATCGTGTTCGACATTCTTGTTGATAAGGCCTGTTTTCTAAGCGCAAGCGGCACAGTCTGTTTGCTACGCAGACTTCCGACTGTGATGTCACTCGTCAATAAGGCAAGGTGGTTACTGCACGAAGCTCTAATGCGGACTTAAATAGCTCAGAATTGTTTTCTCAACAGTAGCTTTTGTAACGACTCTTGTGATAGCGCTGTGGTGCCAATCGCCGAGTTGATTTTCAAGCGCTTGTTCGATGCACCGTTCCGGGGTGCTTCACGGACCTTCAAATGCAGGGCGAGACGAAGAAGTTTCTATCCCAGATTTATCCCAATTTCAACAACTAAGCATGGTCTAATTCCGAATTCTCAATTAGACAGAGCTTAAACTAAATCTAAAACCTGAAGTTCAGTAGTCGGATTGGTATGGCTCAGTTGGAATGGTTCTGCCGGTAAATATGCCTACATTAACCAACTGTCACCTGGTTCGTTACTGTACCTGCTGTTCAATGTATTTTGAATACGACACGACGATTTTCAAGCAAACTTCAAGGATTACTTGATAGTGACTTTTTTAAATCCATACCACTCTCCCTCTCGGCCCCAGTTAGTCCATTGGGACTATACCAAAGTAATGAAGAACTGCATATAATTTTCACTCTGCTCATATTCCATCAGAAGTGCATTTCACATCTATGTCAAGGCTCGAACTCCGAAGACCTGACATACGAGGAGAGCCCTTCACCCATTGGTTGAACGTATCTTAATTCGTTAAGAAAAGCGTAGAATGCAATCGGGTCCACCTTAGAGACCTCGTCAACTTGGTCTGTACTGGTGAGGAGGTCCACATTCAAGAGGTTCACTCAGTAAATCTGAAGCTGTGTATTTAGTCCTATGGGAATTTTTCATGTACGATCCTGTTTCATTTGTAATTGGCACAAAATGGGCAATGCGAGTGATTGCTTAATTCCTCCTCAAAAGCAAACTGTTCGACGCTTCTCTTCGTCTCCAGGTGAGTTGGCCGCTCACTAATCGGTTTATTTCCACGAAATATTCGTCTTTTGTGTCAGAGGGAATCTTTCCGTTGTCTACCACCAATATTCACTAAGGGTGTTAATTACAACCTCTTGAACTCACCTTAGAAACAATTTGATGATATTTCGGAGATTGACTCAGTGGACTCGGTTCTAGCTTTATTCATGGTAAAAATGACGCCAGAAACACGCAGCCGAAGCTGTAGTGATATCCGCAGGGAATAACCGTCTATTTACTTACTTGTGTGAGCAGTGTTCACGGTAACACATGAGGAGGAAGACATATTTGAACATCTTGATTGCTCGTACTGCTGAGTTAAGTAGCATCTACAAAACACTTACATGTTCGGTGCATTATGTGCAGTTAGTTATCCAGAATTATGAACGGAACTCAGTAAAAACACAGTTTACAACAGCAACACGGTTTGTACGTAAGATTGTCGCCGATGGTTTGGAACTACCTTAACAGAACTTGAATAACACTGATGAAAAGAAGAAGGCCTTGGCTGTGGAGTTGTTTATTGGAAAGCACCAACTGAACAGTTACAGGCTATTGGACGGGGAAGCAAATCTCTCATATGCATCTTATTTACAAAAGCTGAATATCCATTTTCTGCTTGAACGCGCCTTCCTGAACTTCCCTGGATAATCATTGACTGTTGCTAAAATCCAAGCAAATGCTACAAAGTGACTCCACGAATTCCGCCATAGATCTCACTGTTCAAGAGACACGAAGCGGATTTACTAGAAAACATACTAGTCGCATGCCTCCCCCATCAGCAGTATCGCCGTTACATTGGTAGCTTTCACGCCGCATTAGAAGATGCGATAAAGAAGCTGTACAGTTGCATAGACGTAACACACTAGTCATAAGCTTGCTAAAAACTCTTGGGCAGCCAAAGACCGTTTTTTCCTTCCATTTTGGGCTCTTCAGATAGGCGCAGCCCCAGAGTTTCCCTAAATCTTATGTTCTACTTGAACCAAAATTGCACGGAATCTGACTTGTACACACATCTGCATACCAACTCGGTTTTGACTGGAGACTCACATGGAACTGAACTTAAGGACATAAACGAGAGATTTAGTTGGGTTCCAGGTAAATTACCCGTCAAAACCTAACAGGTATGCAGATAAGTCTGCAAGTCAAAGCAGTTTCATCCTTGCTGGGAAATATCAGCAGTGGGCATCTCACAAAACTGCAGTAGGAAGTTTTTAACCCGCGACCGTTCGGTCCCAAGCAGTGTGGTTATTACTCACTTGGACAGGACATGGCTGTACTCACCCTTTACTCACATGAAACACATCACGTGGTCACGTATCGATTAGTCGGAAAGTCGGGGGTTCGAGATCCGCGCACTGCTGACGGTTCCCAACAAAGATGAAACAGCTGTATGGCTCTTATTGGCTTTTAGCTCAGATTGGGCTCACTCACCGGACTAAATCTGAATTGAAAAACCAATATGGAAATCGGTTTTGCCTTTGTGACCATATATGCTGGTTGAATGCGTAATGCGAGTTACGGAAGTCGCCTGAATAGGTGAAATTTTGTTCAAGCCCTCGAACTGAACTATTTATTGTTTTCTTAAGGGGCGTATGTGAGCCGCTCGGAAAGTTCGGATCATAGTGGGTCGTGATTTGCCTGCAGTAATTTTTATTAGAACGGATTAAACTTTCATTTTTTATCATGAGACTCGGGAATGGAGCAATCCACTCTCATTTTAGGGCACGATTCAAGAGCACCCGAACTGAGAGGCAAGTGATTTAAGAAAGTACATCCAGGGGGGAGCTTTTGAAATCCTATAGCTCCATTATCTGCTCCAAAGATACTGAGATTAGTTAACGTAACGTCGTAACGCCTTTCCAGTGAACCTAAGCGATTTTTGGTCATTTGAAAAACATTTTTGCTTTCACCTGTGCTGGTCTACACGTTTGACTTTTATTCAAGTGATTGAGCTGAAAGCAGTTGGAAGATCTTTCAGTGTTGGCGAAATACACGCATTTGTGAACGAATTTCGTTTCGGGAGAGAATCACCAGGAACTCAGATGAATCTCTCGTTTGTGATGTTTCCAGACGTTACGAGTATACGAATGTACATGTATCTTGATATCTCGAATATCGTAGAAACTGAAACGAGGCGGCCTGGTGCAGCACATTCACCTGCCTGGAAACACCACAAACGAGAGATTCAGTTGGGTTCCAAGTGAGTCTCTCGCAAAACTAAATTAGTTTGCAAATGAATTTCGCTAATTTCGTGGAATTTGGTTTCAAGTAGAACATAAACTCGAGGACTGCGCCTAAATGATGAGTCTCAAGAAGGACGAAACCGGTCGTGGGCTGTTGAAGAATTTTCAGCATCCTTATGAGTGATGAATCTCTCATATTGTCCAGGACGCCTGCGTCGACTACCGTTGAGCTCACAATCTACAGTACATCTCATTATTTGCTTACTTCAAAGGAGCCATAGAATCGCCCCTCTTTTGGGAAGTTCAGTTACCAAGCAAATCAGGTGGTTTCAGGAATACGCCCTGTAGGTGGAGCTTCCTTACTAACCTTGGATAACATTGCCGAACACTGTTCACGTGTCTTGATTCACGAAGAACAAAAGGTCCGTTTGTGGGAACTAAAAGTTCAGAAGACTTTCTGGACTCACTTGGACTGCCAATCGCATGGTAAATTTAGTGGGATCGGGACAAACTGGTCATTTGGGGGAGTGCACTATTGAAAGAGGGACCAGCTCGTTCGCTTTTGTGTTCTTGGAAGTTCCTTCTTGTTTCAGACACTTTGGGGCTCGTTTAAACCATCGCCTCTAGGAAGAACTGAGGACGACCAAGCGCACGGTGCATCTTTGCACACCTGATCGTAAGAACACTTGATTTTTTCTTCTGATCTTTTTGAAGGTCAGAAAAGTGTACTTCTTTTCCTGTGTTTCTTTACCACCCGATAGATTCTGCAAAGTAGCTGTGAAAAGTGGGCTGGACATCTTCCGCGTCTTTGACTGTTTGAATTACATGCCCAACCTAGTCGTCGGAATGGAGGCGGCTGGGAACGCTGGCGGCGTGGTCGAGGGCGCTTTTTGCTACTCGGGTGATGTGTCCAGCCCGAACGAACACAAATATACGCTTCAGTACTATTTAGATCTAGTGGAACAGTTGGTAAAGGCTGGCACCCATATTCTGGGCATAAAAGATATGGCAGGTACGTAGGATAATTTGCTTTGTTTTGTGAAAATATCGTTGGATCACTTTTTATGGTGTTAAGCAGAACAATGTGTAGTAGCACTAATTACGGGGATAAATCGAAACTCGAATGGTGTGGTCTCAGGAATTGTCTTACTGTTCTATTGAGTGGCATGTAACATGCCCCCTCCCCCCGAATGCAGTAATCCTGTTTGCTAAGAATGGAAAGCAGTTAGAAGAATCGAATATTTTCGACTCCGGTAGCCAGAGTTTTTGTAGTTTAAACATAAAAATACCAAATGGTAGTTAGTGCATCCATCCGGGTCTTGTTGTACTTCATAACCCAGATGCGTTTGCTGTTCGAAAGAAGTTTTTGGATATTATATATTTCTTGTGTTTTCAGTGATAAATCCACGACGTGTATTCTTTCGGATAACTCTCAGTTGTTTTAGAGGCGCTCCTCACTGAACAAAAGTTTTAGCCAAGGTGAAACAAGAACCTGCTGTCCCGGTGGTCGTATTAGTCACTGCACGGCACAACCGTTTATTGAAACTGTTGTGTTTGAGTAATGAGAGGAAGCCACGGATGGTTGTGAAGTCATTATAGCCCGCTCCAAACCTTTCAGGAGGAACTGCCTCTGATTTGTAGACGAAGTATTTTCTGTTTCTTTCTGTTTCTGCGTCGCTACACCAACTCCTGCGTGTCACTCTGAACTTCACTTTCCAATGGGGAGTATGCTTTCCCCATGCTGACAAACGACGGTTTGTCTTTAAATAGTTGGCATATAAAACAGACCTTTCCATGTAAGTGACTATCTCAGCTGAGGATCGATAATCCTCATGTGAATCCGTCCGCTGTTTCCTACTTTAGGTATTGATTGTAGATGTTGAGAGAGGCCTTGAAACCCATCGATATAGTGTTTGCGTCAGGCCCGAGCAGTCCCCAATTTTAGTTTGACCTGAAAACATACGTACGGGCGGTCAACTATACCGTATTCCGTTTACTATGATAATCTGTCATGGAAACAACTGTCGATGCAAACACCCTATTCAACCTGAACGAGTGTTTCCTTGGCGATGCGTTCTCACAATATCCTATGTTGGTCTAGCACCCTTTTGATGTGTCATCAACTTGATCTCACTTGGTTTCAAACTAAATAACAAAAATTAATAACAGGAAAACTAGTGCATCAGTCTGATGAGTACTCACCTCACTAAGTGACTGGGGGTCCCAATTGAGGGGCTTAACTTATGAAGAGGAAAAGCACCAGCGGGAACTGCCGTGTCCTCGTGAGGTAGGGAGATTCAGCGTCACTGGGCCCTCAGAATGTCACTTACCCGGTTTGCTTGGCTGTGTGTGATTGTTTACTGGGATTCCAACAGAGTTCCAACGGTAGCCGTAAACTTATGTCCCATTAATATAGGAGGATCAGTGACTCAGTAAATGAGGGTTATGATTTTATGACATAGTATGTCACCGAAATATTCCAGCTGAGGACGTTGGACCAATCTAGTCGATCTTAGTTACGTTACTCGTCGGGTTTGAGACAGCTCAGTAGTTGAGAGGCCAGCATACGAACCGGAAGGTCCATGGTTTGAACCCAACATCAGCATCACGACTACTCCTGTCTGGCAGTATCCTGGAGGTATTCCAGCCCTATTACCTCGTGGCATCGCAAATGGGCACCGAAGAGGTGCTACATCTAAACGCCCTTGATCTTGGATTGTAGTAAGAACCTCTGCCACTCTGGATCCAATCTATTGTGTCGGTAGATTCCACAACAATCCTGGTTGTGTGCGTCATTTGACCTGTTCCACAAATCCTGTCTGTTCCTGCTGCCTGATCGGTAAGGAATTGCAAAGAACTTCGTTGGGTCACACTGAACACATGATGTTGAGCAATTAGGTTCTAACTTCAGCTAGAATACTACGGATTCTACTGTCAAAATTACTGAGTGATAGAAGGCGCGGCGGACCGCCGAACAGACTCAGCACTGTACCAGCCTTGTGAAATTTTCCGCGATGCCAATATAGGGTAATCTACTGGCACGGAACACATCCTCTTTGTCATGATGAAGCAACAATGTCAGGTGCGATAGGTTTTCCTGATTTGATCTCACCCTAGGTTCGAGCCGTTGGAAAGGATCGCCATCGTAATCGTAACCAAACTGAATTTTCTGTCCCTCGTAATCGAATCACCAACACCGACAGGGAACGTCAAAGCATGTCAGCGTGTCTGTGTATATAAGATAAAGCCGGCCGAACAGACCTTAAGAAACTGTCTTCGAGTGTAAAGAAGCTCAACAAGGCATACGGGCTGATTGTTGCTCCATTTTTGTCTAGACCACGAATAGTTTGAATTGTTTTACTTCTAGACGAACGACTCTGCGTGATCGAAAAGACTACTCGTGATTTTAAAAAATTCCTTCAGTCCATTAGGCCAGAACACTTATCGGATATTCGGTTGCTATGGTCAAGGATTGAACGATCTGACAGCTATCCATTCCTCTGGAGTCAAATGATTTTCCTGGTAGCTACGTACCACTCGGCGCCCGTTGGTTTCCATTGGATTGGGTAGTCGTTCCTGTGATAGTCTTTTCTCAGGAATGTGCAACTTCTCAAAATTGTTTCACTGGTTACTAAGATCAGTGGGACCCGATAACTGTTACGCCGCAAGTCGTTCACTATTGATAGTGCATTTTAACGATTTGTTCTGAGTTCTAGACTAAAGCTGTCCATAATGAAGTACCACCAATGAAAATGTGAGAAGACAACCCCTGTTGTACACGTGGTACACGGCGGTGATTTTCAACCTGAGCGACCCATCTCGGAACGTCTTGTTTGACCAGAACTCTCGTTCTTCTGCTGGCACGCCTGTTTACAATTCATCATCGACCGCTGGAAGCACATAACTGACTGGTTAGGTAACGACTGGCCAGGTACTGATCACCTGGCCTGCCTGTCGGAACTTTCGGGACAAGTAGTGATCCGGGGAACTAAACAGGACATCACCGCTGACGAATTGTTTTTGCTTACTTCTAGATGGTTTTGTGTGAACAGTCCTTCTGGGCCCGCTGCGTGGACTATGGCGGGGATATTAGTAACTTTCTATTCCCCTTCCACTTCAGCATCGTATGTTACCAATACACCAAAGTGCGTTCATGTAATGATGTCCTTAAAAGGTTGAATCATCGTCATATTCGTGTCGCACAGAATTAATGATCTTGGATTCTGAATTCACTGGGATAAAGTAATTGGATATCCATAACCAGGCGTCTCTTTCAGCTTGCCATCATGATAGCTCTAACCATCCGCCATGATGTGAGCATTTTTGCACTCGCTCTCTGTTATTGAAGCTTGAAGGTCAACCGGCCTAATTAAAGGGTATTGAACAGAGGCCGATGGTTTCGGCATACAGCATCGCGCTGGCGTCTGGTTACGCTGGTTTTTCACTGATCTGTCTGCGTACGTGTTGTGCGAAGAACGCCCATCATTCGGCCATTTCTCGATCCATCTTCCTCTGAGTGAAATCCCTACCTGGAGATTAGTAGGAGGCTCGAGAGAACGAAGTAAAATGAATCAGCTTGAGAGGTGGCCTCTTCTGAGAGTGCTGATGCTACTTTGGGACGTGTTTCTTTGCGCTGATTTCAGGTCGCATCACGGTCAGCTCCGAGTAAGCTGCACTGTGACTGCGTTTAAGGGGGGGTGGTTACTAAAATTAGAAGCATAAAGACAGTATCCTTGTTTGATGTTTGACAGTGATGGTTTAGTAGAACTTACATTTAAGGGGCCATGTAGATTAGCTTGAGCACAACATCCATGATTCTTTTTCAAGGACGAAGAAACCACTCTGTTTGTGAGTCACTAATCACTTCGATTGCTCACCTTTTCTGTTGTATGGTTGAAACTCCCCTATGACTAGTGGTCCTTTAGCTAGACCGTGTACATAAATGGCTAGGATGTTTCACGAAAGTCTTTCCTTGTTTTCTTTCCTCTTTCAATCCCAGGTTTACTCAAACCTAAAGCTGCCCGACTCCTGGTGAGCGCTATCCGAGATCGCTATCCGGATCTTCCAATCCACGTGCACACTCATGATACCGCTGGTGCTGGTGTAGCGAGTATGCTGGCAGCCGCTGAGGCCGGAGCAGACGTTGTCGATGTGGCGGTAGACAGTATGTCGGGCATGACTAGCCAACCTAGCATGGGTGCGGTCGTTTCCAGTTTACAGGATACCCCGCTGTGAGTTACCCCGAATGCACCATCTAAATTATACATACTTTGCCAAATGCATCAGCATTGATGAACATTTTAGTCAAGCAAACTGAAAAGTTCACCTTTCTCGTGACTTCTCAAGGTCGATTGTTCGTCTCTTAAATATCTTTCTCTAGTATGATATAGAAGGCTTAAAAACGGTTACTTCTCGTGGTTTCACACCACTGCTGATTGTTACACTCTTTCTGTGCGCACCACTCTGCGTGGGTTGCTCTTCTCTGTCGAAATAACTAATAGATGCGTCGGTCACATGCAAAAGCGTACCGACCAGAGCATCAGATCAGTGATGTTCCAAACTGCTACCTGCCTACTTTGAGCCCAGTCCAGGCAGTTTGTTTCCACTTCTGAGCTCTATCAACAACACAAATTGCTTACAACACTACAGGATAGTTTGAGCGACCTTTGAAGTATAATTTCGTAATAGATTACATCTCATTTCACTTGACATATCATCGTTTTTTTTCACAGAAAATCTGCAGTAAACATCATGTACCTGAAGATAAACAATTGTTTGAAAAATATCTTTGTGTAAACGAGGAGACCCAAATAAATCTTAGCTGAATCCCCTGTTTATGACTTTCCGACTATTGGTCCAGCCGAAAACTTGAAGTGGTCTTTGTGTAGCGCACTCATGGAGCAGAACTTCAGCTAAACTTCAAGTGGATTCCCTGTTTACATTAAATTCATTTTAAATTGAGCTTTTGTTTGCAAGTATATCCAACATGGTGTTCGACTGCGACTGATGGGGTTTCATGGACTGGGCCTATTTAGTGAGTTTTAGCAGGACCAAAAACATCATTGGGTTTCCAGGGCTTTTCATCGACCTTGTGAGTACTATTATGTTTCAACTTGAACAATACTGTGTTCGGCTTTCGGCGCATCCGTCAGAACTTTGTTCTTCCATCTCAAGCTCCTCAGTTTGTTTCAGGAGGCCCGTTCGGCGGACCCTTAAATTTGTGAGTGTGTAGCAAAAAATCCAAGTGCTTTCGTATTTTCTTGAAGAAAACCACTCATCAGGTTGATGAAAACTTTTCGACAGCCGAATCCTCAAGTTACCGTCAACCTTTTATTCTAATTGAGCCCGAAATTCGCGAAATACCTTCATGTGCACACCCATTCGGTATTCAGAAGATAGTCAACTTAATCCCGACTGAACCTCAAGTTTGTCCCATTCTTCAACTGAATGTTCTGCACAAAGGCCACCTCTTGTTTCAGTTGGTACGATATTCGAGACATCGCAGTATACTTTCACGAAGGAAATTACTTTGTTTTGTAACGTACTACTCATGAGGTTGCTGAAAATCCATGGACAGCCCAGGACCGGTTCCGCCCTTTTTCGGGGCTCATCAGGTAGGCGCAGTCCCCGCCAACCTTATGTTCTACTTGAAACCAACTTGCACGAAATTAGCGAATATGCACTCATTTGCAAGCCAATTTTTTTTCGAGAGACTCACTGGAACCCAGCTGAATCTCTCCTTTGAGTATGAGTAGTACATTACAAAGATATACGTGTATCGTGATATCTAGAATATCGTAGTGACTGAGACATAAGGTGGCCTGGTGCAGCACATTCACTTGCCTGAAAACATTACAAGCGAGAGATGCAGCTGGGTTCCTGGTGAGTCTCTCGAAAAACTAAATTAGTTTGCAAATCAGTGGATATTCGCTAAATTACTCTATGGTTTTCCGAAACCCTTTGAAAGCCCAAGACCAATTACGTCTCTTCTGTTTGGGCTCATCAGATAGGCGCAGTCCGTCACTTTTATGTTTTATTTGACCCCAAATTGTAAGGTGCAGAAGTGAATCTTCAGAAAGAAATTGGGCGGCACATCTCTTGGAGTTTAGGTTACCGCGTATGACTCCGTAGAGGATTCATCTTTCATCACAGTCATCCCGTGGACACTACTGGTGCGCCGTTTTGGAATTCAGAAAAACGAAAATTCCAGTGAGATCCGAAGTACTATCGTAGTAGCCCAAATCATTCGGAAATCACATTGAAAAATATTGCCAGTTGTCAGAGCTTTTCGCGAGTTTTTCCTTCATTTTTGTTCGTGTTAGGCAGGAATCCACGCGGATCCCACTATACGGCACGTCATTAGGCGCTCCTACGGCGTTAATAAACCTTGTGTACCTTTGGTGGTTGTTTTGACGTGAACGCTAGCTTGGGAGGCTCAGACCGAGAACTAAGCTGAGGAAAATACCGTTACTACAGTTCAATACCGAGATTTTTCGAATATTGAGCTGAATGGAGCATCCAGCAAACATATAGTTGGTAGTAGTGTGGACGAAGGCGATCTATTTTTTCAATTAGCACCATACTACTTTGAAGAAATAAGTGGGAAAATCATAAAAAGCAAGAAGGGAGAGGGCGCTTCATGGTAGACATACTTGATCTGGGGAGACTAGGGTGGTAGCCTATCACAACATGGTGATCTTTCTGTTCCTCTGAATGATGGTTCGTTGTGGGAGCTCCAGGTGGCTCGGAAGTTAAAATGCGACCTTACTGGCCGCCTCTGTTTATGTCTAGACTTTAGCAACTTAAGAATATCTCAACCCTTGTACTTCATTCCGTGAGGTATAACAGCTTAATCCCGAAAGGGCGTTTTACAGCCGAACGAATTTTTTGCGTGGTTAGTTGTTATGACAAATTGACTCTATCGCGAAGCATGTGATATGCGCGCGGTAACACCTGTCTCGACTTTGAGAGATATACAACCACATGTCACTTAAAAATTCATGTGGATGTGCCACACCCTAAAATGATGGCTGGTTTTGTGCTCTGCATGATCGATTTATTCACCAAATTGTTGTCACTGTTGGGTTGTCGAGCCGAGCCACACCTACTTTCAACGTGCATACCGATGTTTTCTAGACCAAGCTGTTGCGCAACTTTGCGCTACGCTTTCCAGCTGCAATCGGGGTAACGAACCGGTACTATGTTATACACACCAGTATTGTTATGTATGACGGTGGTACTCAACGAAACTCTCAGCCGTGAACTATACTCAGTAGAGCATGTTTTACAACAGGTACTGTGAATGGCATATCAGTTGGTCTTTGATGGGGGACTCAACAGAATCCAGATCAAACTCTAGTTTATGATGATCCGCTGTACCAGGCCGTCTCATGTTTGAGTTGGTACGATATTTGAGGTATCACAATACCTTGCTGTTCAGTCGTGACACCCCACTCATAAGGTTGCTGAAAACGCTTCAACCGCCGAAGGATTTTGAGCGATATTAATAGTATGCTTCACAACTTCAGATCTGCTGTACACAGAACGCTTAGATATTTCAAGAGTCTGAATGACGAAACCAAAACAAGGTGGAAGGTGTGCTGCATAAGAGCTGTCTGTTAGTTCGGTTGGTATGACGTTCAAGACGTCGACGACGTGTATTTTCCTAAAAGTACACACTAGTTACCCCCAGACAATCATAAACGAGATATACTCGGCTGGGATTGGTTTGGCTCGCCAGTTGACAGTGGCGGAATCCGACCAGGGATCGTTACCACTTTTGGGTATAACTTTAACGTATCTTCACTGACTGTTGGTCAGGAATTGTTGACGCAGCTGAATGTTTCAGATCTTTTAAGATGTGGATGTATGAAAGACTTTGTGCGAAGTGTGACGTTCCAGCAATGAAATTGAAGATTTCCCCTAAAGTGACAAAATTTGGCTTCCTGAACTCTGTCTTGTTAGCCCGCATATAGCTGGATGACATACCAGGCAGCAATATCCGTTTTTTCGCCCGTGTAGGCAAATTTTTTTAAAATTGCGTACAAAAATATCTCAGTACTAACATTTCAATGTTCTCAAGCACATCCTTTGGATGGACCGGTTTTCCTATTGTAGCGATACACAAATTTCTCGAGAAAATATCTCAGCCTATTCTGCGTATTGGGAACAAACGCGTCGGTTGTACGGACCGTTCGAATGCACAACCACCATGCGTTCGGGGAACGCGGACGTTTACGATAACCAAATTCCCGGTGGACAATACACAAACCTGCAATTCCAAGCTTTCTCACTCGGGCTTGGTGACCAGTTTGAGGACGTTAAGAAGAAATATTGTGAGGCAAACGAACTAATGGGTAATATTATCAAAGTAAGTTCGTCAACGTAACACTGGGGTCGCTTTTGCTCCCCCCCCCCACCGTTGCTAGGGCAAGTTATAATACTTTTCCAAGTTGTTAGCCTTCTTATTAGGAGAACTAGCTCCGAACGTAACGACATAACATAACAGCCAATGGAATAACCGTTTTCGTTCAGACAGATTTCATTGGTTTTCTTCACTCGTCCTTGACAGATGAGTTACAGTCTTAGTACCACTTTTTTGATCCACTTGTACGCGACAGTGATCACTGGGATCAGCTGTCTCGCACGTTCATTGACTTTTTCTGATTGACCAAGCGCACCAGGCTATCATTTGGCTATCCAGTCCGGGATTTGCGGCATTACGAAGGCATTAGGGAAACTGGTCCACAACACCTTTGTATTTGTGGTGCATGTTTTCAGGGTAGAAAAGTATCAAACTGCTGGGTTTCAAAATGCCACTACCGTTTTCCGTTAGACGGTAAGGCTCAGCCAATTTGACAGCAGATCGCTGACCTAATCAACTGTACTAAATCGAAAAACTTTCATTACGATTCAGTTTTTCGGACTCATGTTGTAATCGATGGAAAAAAGACTGAATATGGTTAAATGAGTCCAGCTACACGCTTGATAAGCTCCATTCGCGGAACTACACCTCATCGAATCGATCAGACAGTAAACTCAACAGAAATAGAGACAACAGACAGACTGGGGGATATTTTACACGAAAGCCTTGTGAATCTTTTCATGCAATTGCCTTAGGGTGTAACAACAACAGAGGCTTGGTTGGGGTCATGCTGTTAGGCCACCAATAATGGAGTTATGTGGTGAGATGGCTCAGTTGTTAGAGCACGAATTCACTGACTGGAATGTCCGTGGTTCGAACCCGACCTCACTCTCTCGATTTCCTCGCCATAGGTTTGGCCAACCTGGTAGTATCCAAGCTCTCGTGCTTCCTTCGGGTGGTATGGAAGCTAGGCACCGAAAGGGTTTTGTTTTAATAATGGATTTTTTTAAAAAGCATTGAACCTCAGGAACAAAATCCTCAGTACTACCGACCGAGATACAATGCTCAAGAAAGTTCACTTTAGATGTGAAGAGCTGCGGGACTTGTATAATTTCCCGTTCACTTCACCCACGTTTGAACAGTCCTCATCCCGCGTGGTAGTCTCACGTGGTGTAATATCGTTATTAGAGGTCATCAGCACTGCGTATCCTTGACCATGCCCGGGATTTGAACGCCGGATACCTGACATGCGAGCAGAGCGTGTTATCACTACCCGACCAGCGCACACCGTACCCACCAGATGCATCAACAGGCGAATGTGTTCATACTTGAACGATGTGGCTGGTTAACCCGATGGCTCGAACGACGACCCGGTAATTGTCCTGGTCGTCTTTGATCAAATGACTCGCCTGACTGAAGTTCCCAGTCAAGATGCTTGAAACCTGCTGAATAATTTCGATCAGTTGCAGGATATGTAGAATTCGTGTTCACCTGCACTATCCAATCAGAATGCAGCATTACTCGTGTCCTTGACGAGATAATGCTTTGTACTCACCTCTGCGATAGCTTGTCAGAAATACAGAGGGTTAGTTATTTTTACGAAGTACACGCATTTGCAAACTAAGTTGGCGTGTTAACTAACGACTCAAATGAGTCACTCAAATGATCTCTTGACTGTGATACCGTTCAACTAAATGTTCTGCGCAAGGCCACCTCAGGTCTCAGGTGATATAATGTTCAGTATATCGCAGAGTAGAGTCGACCGACTTCTTCGAAGGGCTCTTTTCGCACAACCACGTGAAGGGTGGAAGACAGCCAGAGGCGGTCAAACAATGACTTGCCAGCGAAGTATGAAAGCCATCACCAGCGAACTCAGTTGGGCTGGTCATTGCCATCTTCCTGGATGGGGACCCCAAGACGGGCCATATTAATGGTTAGAGACATTGTTAGACATGGCCCAGTCGCGCCCTCAATGGCGCTCGTGCATCCAAGCTATTGCTTTCAATGCATAGCTTCCTACCCAATCCCCCAACTTAACAGTGCACCTACAGTGCTGTATTTACGCACTACTTTATCAGCTCCCGCTTCCAATGCGCAGCTACCTACCCCACCTCCCCGAATCATCGGTGAACGAAACTGTGGCAGCTACAACCACTGTACGACAAATATGCGGTTATCACAGCTGACAATGATGATGATGATGAGAGCATTTTTCTTTCAAAACACGCCACTCCATTGCAAGCCGGTTGGAATTTGACAGGAGATTCAGCTGGATTCAGCTAGATCTCCCGTTCTCAGCTGACAATGATGATGATGATGAGAGCAGTTTTCTTTCAAAACACGCTACTCAATTACAAGCCGGTTGGAATTCGACAGGAGATTCAGGTGGATTCAGCTAGATCTCCCGTTCCTGATATTCTTCAACAGTGACACGCCTTATGTCTGAGTTCGCATACTATTTGAAATATATTTTACTGACACAACACGCCACTTATAACGCTGTTTTCTAAGAGATTTTGTTACTCTTATGAATAGCATATTATGTAAAGAGATGTAGCCCTTTTTAGTCAGCCGACGATCGGTGCAAACAGCAGTTATCTTCTTTTTTTGTCGTGAAGCAGACAAACAGTGCGGACCGTTGGCACGACTGATTTGGTTAGAGTACACATCGGATGAGTGTATCCTCCAGTTCTGTGAAGGTCATCGGTTTGTGGTAGTCCTTCTGGCTTCAGAAAATGCCAGCTCAACTGTAAATCCGTTTTTACTTCAGCCCTTCAGACTCACAATGTGGCCCAGGAGATCAATACATTTGAGTTTGGATACGGATGGCACTTTGTACTATATTTCGCCAGCTCAAGTTTTCAATAAATGATCCTGATTTAGATTAACACAATCTTTTTTTGTGAACGTTCCGCTAACTAAGTCATTCATCTCACACGCTTTTTACCCAGGTCACGCCTTCTTCGAAAGTTGTCGGCGATTTGGCACAGTTTATGACTCAGAATCAACTCACTGCAGAAACTCTGTTAGAAAAGGCCGATGAACTTTCCTTCCCCGCCTCGGTTGTTGAGTTTTTCAGTGGTGAAGTTGGGATTCCCTACGGCGGATTTCCGGAGCCTTTGAGAACAAAAGTGAGGACTTTTCCACGTTGTTCTTTATCCCATTCATCAACCGCTTTCCGAAAAAATTTTAAACGAGTTTGGATGAGGTGCGACTCAGTAGAGCTGTTTTCCATGTGATTCAAGGAACCTAGAGGCTTCGACTTTCCCCAAACATTGTTCTTTACTCGCGCTATCAAGTAGAGTTTTCATCATGGATCATGGCTGCTTCCAGAAAAAATCGTATATTTAACATTCCTGGTCAAGACCGGGGCAAGCTCCTGTAATCACCTAAAACAATAGCTGAATATGGCTACCTGGTTATTCAAGGTCACAAATTCTCAGACCATCTTGTGTCCTCCGTCACGTTGACTGCGAACGTTCACAGTTAACACGATGGAATTAGGCAAGAACTTGTTGTCCACTCATCCATGATGCCTCTGGTTTACTGTGGCCATCAGGCGGATTTATTATGTTCAACCTATATCTGAATGTATTAATAAGTCGCATACCAAATACTACTCAAATGAATGCGTTGACTGATCAACGGGGTGAACTAAGCCAGGGTTTGCCTCACGTCAAAGCGGACCGTATCGTCTCGATTGAAATCCCTTTGTGAATAGCCGTCATGCAAAGAAGAAAGAATCACGGTGAGTGAGATACTGACATGAGCCTAAGCTGGAACAATAGATAAGTCAGGGTTGAGTTTGAACCACAGACCTTCTTGTTAGCAACTTCGTTTTCTAACTAATGGGCCCTCTCTCTAACTTATTTGATCAATAAATTTAAAATTGTGTGATTTACAATGACTGGGCAAAATAAAATTTACATCCAAAAATGTCTAGTAATCGGCCATCCATGAGTACATTTTTATTTTTTCGCACTACTGTTATACTGCATCAGTAGCTCTCCATTGTCCTTTCTGAGGAACTGCTTTACTACCATAAACTAGTATTATTTTAAGTACTTACTCTACACTCTACATACTACTAATGGTCAAAATGACTTTGTAATGAAGCATGAAAGCTTTGGCCAGTCAGCTCACCCCCTCTTCCCGGACAGGGGCGGATGTAACTCTGGATACTACTGATGAAGCATTCAAGTAGTTTATGGTTGGTGTCCAAGCTCCACCCCCGCATCTGATGGGAAGTGAAGTTTATTAGGGAAATCATGACAAATCTTGGCATCGTTCGTTTAAAACTGCGCGACATCAATGGACTGATTGACGCGTCTCTCACCCCCTTGTTCTCTTTATCCGCGCTGAATGAAGTTTCAGCAGCTGGTAACGCTGCACAAATTATCAGCTGGAAAACTGAATGGAACTGAACTGAAGTGAACTCAGATCAATCAAATCAAATGAACTAAACAGACTGGCGATTGAAAAAAAGGGAACTGCATCCTTACACTCCTGTCTTTGCTTGATTGTTGCATCCGCTTAGTCTCACGAGCGGACTCAGTTTCTTGTCCAATAAACCATTTATATTTTGCACAAATTCACATCTGGGATGATAGACTCTGAAAATCGTTGCCTCCTTCTTTGCTGTGAGTTACTGAAAAGCATTAAGAATGAGGGATTGTTTGTTCGTCTGGAAATAAGAGCAATCGTTCAGATGTAAAATTCCTTCGGTATTTAGCTACCAAGCTACCCAAAGAAAGCACGAGGACTGAGATATTGTCAGGTTGCAAAACCCTAGATAGCAACAGCCTGGATGCTGGGGTTGGGCTCAAAACACCGATCTTTTGGTCAGTGAGTTTTGCCCCAACGTCTCACCTATTCCGAGCTTATTTGCTACTTCTGGCGGAATAGCACATTGATGTTCCTCACCTATTTTGTAATTGCTTAATCTCTGTCCAAGGTCATGCATGGCAAACCAAGTCTGACGGAACGACCTGGAGCCTCTTTGGAACCCTTGGACATGGATAAACTAAAAGCTAGCCTGAAAGCCAAATTTGGTCGAGATTTCGATGACCGTGATCTAATGTCCTCGGCCATGTATCCCAAAGTGAGTTATTGCTATATTTGTAATGTACTGCTCATAAGGTTGCTGAAAATCCATCGACAGCCCACGGCCGGTTTCGCCCTTCTTGAGGCTCATCAGGTAGGCGCAGTCCCCGGGTTTCCGTCAACCTTATGTTCTACTGCTACTTTTTCTCTGTTTTTTACTCTCACGAATCATTATTGTCACTGAAAACAATCGACAAGCGCAAAACAGGCATGCACCAACTAGGATAGCAGGTGGAGAAGCGAAAAGAAACGTGTATAGACTTAATACAAAAACGTCCATCTCCTCAAACAAAACTTTGAAGGACAAGGTGCCTACAGCATCGTACAAAACTTAAGAGCGTCTTACCGAATCAATTCGTCATTCACGAGAATCACCCAGCATCCTTTACCAGTTGTTTCAAATAAAGACGGCATTCGATAGCCAGTTAGTACGGCTGAGAAATGACAGTTTGATGCCTATGTGACTGGGTTAGCACGGCGTTCTGCGCGAATTCCAGCCATCTGCAGAGATGATTACCTGAGCCACAGCCCGGAAGACCTAAATATCACATAGCATTCCTTTGAACGATAATGCTTTCGTTTCGCATCGACATGGTATAGTCTACATCCCGCACGTATTGACCGAACAATCGTAATATTGTTACTCGGTGTCCGATCGCGTACCACCTCGTAGCGTACAGGTTGCAGTCAGCTAAATCTCACCATGCTATTAAGACATCAAAACTGGACAAGACAGGATGGGTGAGACAATCCAACTAGTTCAACCAGTTGTACAATAAATAGGTCCCCAAAAGTCATGTGGGTAGCGGGAGCACAAACAATATTTACCACTCACAGTGAAGCCCTCTTCTAATCCGAGAGACTTCCACAGAATCGAAGTTTACTTTAAAGGCGCTGCTCAAACACTTGACTTCATGTAGAGATTGTGTCATCGCCCGTAGTCAAGCCTGACGAAAATCCATCTTGACGCCCTCGGACGTGTGCCCTAGGTGAGGGAACACAAGCATTGTAATATTAGGGAAGACGGTAGCCGTAGTACGATCAATCTGAGGCTTATAAATCTGTGACTGGAGCTGTCGGTTCGGTCCATCCGGCCCAACAGCCTGATGATATCCTAAGACAGAGTGGTCCATTAGTAATGGAGATTCAAAACTCAAAGGCCTCGACAACTGCGAATGAAGAAAGAGTTCGAACGAAGAACATAGACGCAGGGACACGAGATAAACATAACTGTTGCTGTGTTTGGTCCATCCGTAGTACCAACTGCTGGTTTTTTGTCTATTAGATTATCTTTGAAACCATAACTAACAGAAGGTCTTTGAGGTACGTTATTCGGGTTAGGTGAAGAGAATTCTTATGAATTCTTGAGCTTCCCTATCCTACCATTGTTTACACGCCGACTACTTCCAAGCTGACATATAGCTCTGATACCGTTGGGGATTCAGCGCCTCACAGCTGCGTGTGGCAGTGACTCTTCTAAGACCCACTGGTTTTCGAGTGCCGCATCGGAAACACTGCAATTCAGATTTGAGTAATTTTGGTTACCTTGTCCCGCTTGTGGATAATTCCCTCTGAATAGTTTTCACATGAAGCATTTAGTTTAGTTCAGCTCGCTTTATCAACTGTAAACCAGAAGTAGGTTGGGACAACCTGGGAGTATAGCTTGCGGTCCGAAGGAGAGTCCGACACAAAACGTCTAGCTCGCTCCTCAGAGTGGGCCTAGAGATAATAGCGAAGATTTGTGTTGAACGAGAGCTGATTTGAACTAATCTGTCTGTCAGCTGTAATAACAGCGTACTTATCTTATCTTGGTTGTAGCAGACACAGTTTCGTTCACCGATGATTTGGGGAGATGGAGTAGGTAGCTGTGCATTGGAGGCGGGAGGTGATAAAGTAGTGCGTGAATACAGCACTGTAGGTGGGCTGTTAAGTGGGGGTTAGGAAGGGAGCTATGCATTGAAGGCAATAGCTTGGATGCACGAGCGCCATTGAGGGCGCGACTGGGCCATGTCTGACAATGTCTCTAGCCATTGATATAACCCCTCTAGGGATTTTGTGTGGTGGGAAGGTGTTGGGGAGGGACATCGATGTACACCGAACTGGGCAGGCAAATAATATTTCCCGGTTGTCCAGGCCGGGGATGGGGGCCGCCAGAATCCGTAGCGGATGGCCACGTGATCCGAGTTGGAAAACCGACGAACACGCCGGGTAGCATAACGGTGCCCATTTAGTTGAGCTTGGGGCTACTGGGAAACAACGGATGGTCGGTACACGATTGTGAAGGGTTCCCGCCGCCTGCATCATACTTTGTATTCATAGTAACCCTACTAGAAAAGCGTGATTTTGACTGTCGCGGTGTAAACATGTACCTTTAGTAATGTACGTCATGCGCAGGAACAGCGATCCCACAGCAACGATTGTTTAAAGATACGCAGCATATAATTTTGATGGGTTGCCAGTTTAGCTGGGGGCAAAAAACAAACAAAAGTCGTTAATTACCAACCAGACTCAAGTTAATCGAAAATTTAGCATTCTTAGCATCCGTGCATCTTTGTCATCATCAGATATTTCCAAATGAAACTAATGTGCACCGTCAAGTTCCTCAGACTGTGTTCAAGATACCTCGGTTCAACTGTTTTTCCTGACACTGGCGGTATACAGATGAATGACTGTCGTAATCACTCTCTGTTGAGTAAATAAAACCAAATTATATCGTTTCCGGAAGCTATCCAATCATCCGCTTTCCACAGCCCCCACCCCCTCAACCGTTGAGGTTGAGATTTTCGGAACACAATTTGACGAAAGAACGTGTGTTGTGCAACGTTAACTAGTCAATGTTAGGGCAACAGCAACTTACCCTCAGCGCAGTCAGAGTTCGGTGGTCATCAAATCAAGATATGGTGCTTTTAGCTGCAGGTGATTGCGAGACTTGTATTGACCGATCGTCTTCCAATGTCTTGATCATTTCCGAATGCTTTTTTTCCAATTTATCACAGGTGTTTGAAGAATTTGAACAATTCCGACAGCAATATGGTTCGGTCGACAAACTTCCAACCAGAGTTTTTCTCAAAGGTCCGGAAATTGGTGAAGAAGTTACGGTAGGTTAACGTCACGTGCTTTTGTTCGGGGTATCAAACCTGTAGACAAAGTATCTGTTCTATATTTACTTCAGTTTGGCGTAGGTTCCTTCAGACTCCACAAAAATCTTGTGACTCAAGCACGTGTTCGTGGGTTTATAGGACATCCTGTCTTGATTTGTCCCAGCAAGGAATAGGGTCACGAATGAATGGACTAATCTACCTGTCTTCAAAAAGACCGATATGCTGTGCTCAAAATTTCAACGGTATCTTTTATAGTCAATGTAACTCATGAAGTATATCAGCAACATCATGGCTACCTGTGGCTGCAATTTTTTCTTAGATAATTCTGAATTCTAGCCCCACAAACAGCACCAGAGTTCAAGCTGGCGTCCGATTGTGGGACCTTCTGAAGCCAACCCAGATGACTGACTCATTGGACAAGGACGTTCGTTGTTCATGGTGACACACGTTTTATCGCACTTTCCTGCGAAATCCCTTCGGACAACGTCTGATTCAGTCCATAAATTGCGAATTATTTTTCGTTACAAAACTAAGACGGCTCGAGTACACAGCCTAATCAAAACAACGACTATCGACACTGTAAGAGCTGTTATGAATGGCGATCCTCAATTTTTCTACACACGATTGTTTTGGCCAAATGAAAAAACATCATCATCATCATCATCATTACTATCATCATCATCGAAAACATGACGTCAGCGTTCAACACCGATGCTCCACTGCCGTACAACCATGATTTATTTGACAGCCTTATTGTAAAGAAAAGAGTAAAGGTGAACGGGGAAGGGACATAGTGCTAGCTTACCACAATCAGTCCGTGGTGCCTGTACCTCCAGACATTCACTCAGGCGATCTGGATCGAAACTGACAACAAGAACGCCACTGACATCGGTTGGCAGCCATATCTCGTAGTGTCCCCAACCAGGCGCAGTGAAGATCACGAAGTCCCCATCCTGGAAGGCGAGTAGCACCGACAGCACCCAAGCGTTTTGTGATCTCCTTCATACCTTTCTGCCAAGTCATGGGTTGGCCACCCATATGTTAACGCCACTCTGAATTGGGCATGGAAAACAGCACTCTCTTCGGCAAACGATGGTTCGGCATACGCAACACATGTCCCAACCAAGGCAGCTTCTGTTGTTGGACATATTCTTCAATGGAAGTACCCGTCGCACAACTGAAAACGCGCTTTCATTACGCAATCGCTGACACTAACCCACACGAGCTGTGGTTCTGAGACAACGATTATCGAACACCTGAAGACGTCTCAGGTCCGCTGCTCGAATAGGCTGTCTCACAGCCACACAGGGATAAACCACTCTGACGCCATAGGTGTCTCAAATTAGAAAACGCGACCCGAGCCTTGCAGATTCGTGCATTCACCTCATCTGTCACACTATAATCAAAACTAATACAACTTCCAAAATACGTAAAATGCTCCACAGTTTCCAGTACCTCTCCCTGGATCGTAAGTGGCGTGTTCAGTGACTGCACGTCCACAAGCATGACCTTACACTTTGTGGGTGCAAAGTGCATACCAAAGGACGGGATGACTTTGGTCAGTTCATCCAAGAATACTTGCGCCTTCTCCGCCTCTTCGAACATGAGAACGATGTCGTCTGCATATTCCAGATCGACAAGGTTTTCCTCACAGGCTACTTGAACACCAGGGCTTTGGAGACCTTTAAGCGTCTGTCTCATTATATTATCGATCACGAAGTTAATAAGGAATGCAGAGACTGGGCATCCCTGACGGACACCGCTTTGTGAACAGATGCTTTTGGAAAGCACTCCGTACACTCCCATACGTCCGGAAGTCTGAGAATACAAAGAACGTATTATGTTTACAAACTTCCGGGGCATTCCTTAGTGGACAAACGTGTCAAGAAGAACAGACCGATCAACTTAGTCGAATGCGTCTCGGAATATGAACAACAACAATATATGAACAACCAAATACCTGTGATTTAAAAACGACCCACATGTCATGCGGAATGCTTTGATGAAGGTGAAACTTTGGATCAGTAGCCATTCGTTTATCGTTTCAGCGAGGTTTAGTAAACAATCGTCGGATTTATTGCCAGGCGGAGTTTCGCTTTTGACACAAAGGCGTCGCCAGCCCAAGTGAGAAAGTCACCAGGTTTTAAGGCAGCCAGGGAATCAGTCGGTGACTTGATCAGTGCTGGGTGTCAGTTTGTAGGTTGGCATGGTTGACTATCGCTTACTTTGGATTCCTTAAGGAAGTTTTTCATCAAGTTCAATCGGGATTTAAAGGTCTTGTTTTTCCGGTTTAGCACACCTCATGGTATATTCCCTTTGAGTGTCATTCCATTGGTCTCTCTGTGTATTGAGCGGTGCCAAGACAACTGGATTGGGGATCAATGTGGTACGCAAGTGAATGTAATCCGCCAATCTCTAGCAGTATGCTCTCAAGTAGAACATATGGTCGAGGGAAACTCGTAAACTACGCCCACCTGATGAGCTCTAAGAAGGAAGAAGCTGGTTGTGCGCAGTCGAACAGTCTTCACCAACCCTATGAGTAGTGTGCTAGGTCTATACCATGTACCGCAATACTGGCGCACTGTACAAACTGCTATATGAAGTGACCTGGTGCAGCACATTCAGTTGAAGACGATCACCATAAGCGCGAGATTCACCTGGGACTCAGATGGGTCTTCCGTGAGAACTGATTCGGTATGCGAGAACGTTACAGGCTGAACAGGTCAATCTGTTTCCAACCAGATAGACTTTCACTAAATCCAAGTCTTGAACACTCTCTTGGTCCTGCTGGCCTTGAAATACTCTTCAATGAAAGATCGATGATGAAGCTTGATTACACACCACACTGATTTATCATCAGATCTATCCCAGATCCCAGACCGAACAGCCTAAGGGCAACTAAGTTAAAGTTCACACTGAAAACTAGTAAATGCACTTTCTGTTCACATCTTACTGATGTTGAGCACTCAGATTTGGTAAGAGGTGCAAGTGATATTTAAATAAAACTGAAGCAAAATACACTCATTTGAAATTTGGTTGTTACAGGCTGAACAGGTCAATCTGTTTCCAACCAGATAGACTTTCACTAAATCCAAGTCTTGAACACCCTCTTGGTCCTGCTGGCCTTGAAATACTCTTCAATGAAAGATCGATGATGAAGCTTGATGACACACCACACTGATTTATCATCAGATCTATCCCAGATCCCAGACCGAACAGCCTAAGGGCAACTAAGTTAAAGTTCACACTGAAAACTAGTAAATGCACTTTCTGTTCACATCTTACTGATGTTGAGCACTCAGATTTGGTAAGAGGTGCAAGTGATATTTAAATAAAACTGAAGCAAAATACACTCATTTGCAAACAAATTTGGTTTGCAATTTGGAACCTGGTGACATTTCCCTCGGATCGATTAAAACGACAATAGAATGAATGAATATATGGCACAAGTAAAAACCAGAGAAGGGTAGCTATAACACCCCTACAGTACATAGCTGCCTCGTCACCCGAGGGAAACCCGACGGCTTAGCTACAAGTTGGGCCCTAACGACGAACCTTCCAGTTAGTGAGCTTGCACCTTAACCACTGAGCTACCTCATGCTTTCCTCCTAAAGTCCAAAGGTACCTCTAGGCAGGGCGATTGCCCAGCCAAGTCATAGTTTTGGGTGTTTTCGTTTGACCGATATGGAGTAGCGTCCCCACATGTTGCTTGCGTCTCTCCTTTGGTGAGTTTGCAGGACAACTTCACCGGTAGAACGTCAAACTACTCTAAGTAACCTTCAAGCTACTAGCTGAAGGTCAGTAATACTTGGGCTGTTTCATAGCTGGTAATTGATCAGGTGGCTGTTGATCTGTTCGCTAGATTGGCAATTGATTCGCAAACGTTTCGTCACCATTCGAGGAGACATCTTCAGTGCGCTGTTGGTTGGGTAGTTCCTCTCTTCGTGCCTGCGTTTATATAGTCTACA